TTTTTTTCCCTTCTCCCGCTTCATTTCTGGCCATTTCCCGGACCTTCACGCCTCCCGGCGGTTGCCCTATATGGTAACGGCAACTGCCTTCGCGCTGCGTTTGCTAAGCAATATCGCAAGCGCGCAGAGCGCGCGCGCCGGCTTCGTGGGCCGGCGCGCGCTCTGCGCGCGCGCGCGCACGCATTTGGTTACCAGATGATATCGCAGATGCAGTTCTTTCAGACGATAATGGCTAATTTGATTTCTTGCAGGCGAACATTTCTAGAAGTAGAGCCGTGTAGATTAGTATGTGGGAAGCTTGGGTTCGGGCATGCTTTTTTTCATCTCCGTGGTTAGTCAAAGCAGACTCCTGCTGCAATTTTGTCCTTCATGTTGAAGTTTGAGTTTCAGAAGAAAACGAGACCTACTGCTATGATAATTATCTGATGTTTTTGTACCTCATGTGCCCTACTACGGGTTTCTTCGTCAGACATTGGTACTATGTATAAGGAGTTGTGAACTCACAGTACTCATCTCTATAAGGTTGCAGGTGCTTTTGCAGAACAGCCGGTTTTTCGGAGATCATTTTTGACCGTTATTGATCATACCAAATCATACTGATCGGGGTAACTTCGAGGCCACTGGATCTCCTTTTCATCCAGCACTGCCCGCAAGGAAAACTGGATTTTCTTTCCCACATGATCCGTGAAAACGACGGAGCAGGAAGCAGACAACGGCAGATCCGCTCCTGCGAAAGTTTGTTCTACTTCCTGAGGTCCGGTCCCCGTCCCCCCAGAATGGCTTTCAGGAAAACTACCACCCTGCTCGTTTACGTTTTCCGAGGTGGCTACAAAATCCCGGAAACAGCTCCAGGCAAAGAGCTCGTGCTGGAAAAAGCGCCTTTTCTCCGCACGGAGATGGAAGGTTCTCTTTGTGGTTGAGGTTCTCGGAAAACGAGTCGTCGTCGATTCCTGAGCGATTGGCGATGTTGAAACTGCAGGAACTTCCTCCGCAGCGCCAGCTCCACCTTCGTGCCCGTTGACCAGGAAATTCTCACGGTCGCGTGCGTCCCCTTGGCCTTGCGGCCCTCCCTGAACAACATGCAGTACAATCGACAAATTCCAAGCACCAGGCACGCTTTCGTCGTTCTTACTCGTAGTTGCTTCCGTCGGAAAAGTGCTGCTGTTTGCAACCAAATCTGTCTCGAGTCGGTGCCGCATTTCGAAAAAACCCGCATGTTGCAGAAGACGCGAGAACGTCAGCCGCTCAATCCGATAGGCTCGCTTACTGCGGACAAAGCCAAGGTCACTGGTGAATTCGACAGGCGGTCGCCGCGTCGGAAGGTCAAAGACCATCCTGGTGTCCCTCTGTCTATGCTGGTGGTGTCGAAGGAGTAGAGAGATAAAAGTGCAGCACAGCCCGTGCAGATCAATCTAAACAATACGAAAGTCAAGAAAAGAAAAAAAAAGCCAACAGCAGTCTGGTAGTCTGCGCGATGAAATGCGGGGATTGTCTCGTGCTCCTGGTGGTTCTACCTCGCCAAGTAGGCTTGAGTATGCATTCCTACCAAGCTCCGAATTATTCGAATCTGGATCTGCTTCTGCTGTGCTGCACCTCTTCAGATCGATACTAAAGCAAACGTGTGAGCAGTCTCGAGGAGCACCAAGCGAAACGGCAGCCGCTCGTATACTGCGAGCAGCTCCAGCTCCTTCGCGGAAGACATGACGTCCTCGGCGCTCTCCACAGTAGGCGACTGCGACACGAAAAGACGATGAGATGAGTTTAACATCTCTCGTCCCAGATCCTGATCGCACAGCACCTCCTGACCACTGGTTGCTACTAAGCGAACGCGGGATGATGATGTGGACGGCTCATGCATTACCGTCCTCGTCGTCGAGCTGCACTTCTTGCTGCCGGCGGCATTTTCATCCCGATCCGCAATCGCAAAGCATGCGGCTTTCGCTCCTTTTGTCCCGCTTTGATGGTCCTCTGCAGGCAAACTTCGTCGTCCGTCGCGGTCGTCGCCCTGGATCTTTGCGAGGCACTCCCGTTTCAGGGCATCAACGGCTGCTGTGGAACCTGCGTACGGATCCTCTTCCTCGTTGCGTGAGCTGGTTTCATTTGTGAGCCTGTCCCCGTAGTCGTCCCGGTCGGCAATTACATTGCTCATCGAAGCTCTTTCGTTTTTCTGGCCTCTGGGTGAAACTCGAACATCAATATGCTCTTCCACGTGGTCCGCATCACCTCCTCCAAACATTTCCTGGTCCTCCACTACTGCACGGAGCAGCGGTCTGCCGCCGAGTGTCCGGACGGTGAGAGCATGTTGGAGACGACCCTTCGGGTTCTTGTCAGAGTCGCGGCCCTCCTCGCCACGAGCGGGGGCTGGAATCGGATCTTTATCCACCACGTGCACGCCGTTTCTGTCTACCAGGGCTGAAAGAATCGCTGCTGCTTCCTCACGGTGCGGCCCCGATGCCACCTGGTGCCGGCCGTCTTGCAAGTAATTCGCGTCCTCCGCAACCTGCTCGTATTCCGCAGAGTTGGATGCAGATGCTCCAGCAAGCAACGGAAATACGACCCGAGAAGCGCCCACGCAAGATCCCCTCTCGCCTGCGTCCAGTGTGACACCTAAGCAGAGGAGGAAAAGACGCGCGCATACATTTTTCCAGAGGCCCAGCATCGCCGCTTGCTTCCTTCCCTCACGCCCGCGTCGCGGCGTCGTGGTTCTCGTTGTCAATAAAACAGGCTGCAGTCGCATCTTCGAGGAGCGCGAAGAAAACACTAACACAAATTTGACTTTTCAGAACCTTGTTACAGACAATTCTACACAGCGAAAATCTAAGTCGCACACGAAAGAGGCAAGAGCTTTATTCTTATGATGTAGAAAATGCAATATGAAATGCAAAAATTTGAGTTTCTATGAATTGAATACTCTTCGAAAGGACACACGACCACTTGGAAAACAGGATTAGATGCAGTTGTCAGTCTCGCCGATAGACCATTCGAATTTTCATCCTGGATAATATTTTACTAGTAAATAAAAATAATCTGCTGGTAAATCGGGCATTAGTAAGAGCAACATGAATATGGTTTTCTACGTAAATCCTTCACGAGGTAGCTGGTGCTTTCGTCAGACGTCGAAGCAGCGTACTTGTAGCAAATCGGACACAGCAGGATTCGTCAGCAAAGGTCACATTGCAACATCGGCATCAAAGGTGGACGCGTCAAGAATTCTACTTGATTTATGCGTCCACATCGTTGGATCGATCCTCATCCCCAAGCAGAAGTGAATCATCAAGGTACAAGTTACACGACGAGTTCTAAAGCGGAAGACTCCGCAAGACGGTACTTACGACAAACAGTTTTGCAGCCTGGTTCGTTTTCATCATCTTCATCTCTGTGCTAGAGCTAATAGTCGTGCATCTTCAACAACAACAGAGGGTGACGATTTGAAATTTTCGTTACTTCACCAATGAATAAAAGTGCAGTTGCTCATGGCACTGCTGGGCAATACAATGGCAAAAAACTACATCAATCTTCTCGAACATCGGAACAAGACGTGGAAGTAATTTCGAGTTCCTACACAACTACGAACAGCAGCTCGAAAGCAGAGCGCCGATCTGATGTCCTCCGCTGTGCCCACCACCAGGCTTGGTGGTGGTGATCTCGTTCGGCGTCATGGTTACGGCCAGCGAGTAGATGGCCAAGGTTGCGTACGCGCTCACTGCGGCACCGAACAAAGCAGCCACGCTGATGATGGTCTGCAGCACTGCACACGCGGCTCGCTCGGTTTGCGGCTCGAACCGCAGCTCTGGCGAGAGAAGCTGTGCGCAGACGGGGTCAAAATTTTTTGCTGTCCTCATCTGCAGGAGAAGCTGTGTTGCCGCCAGGACAAACTGGCCCAAGGAAACCAGGCTGAAGAGGAACAGCGGGTATAGAAGGGCCGGCTGTTTTTGTCGCAAGGAATAAACTGCCAGCAGCAGAGAGGCCAATCCGAGAAGCTGTGAGGGATAGTAAACCACAGAGCTCAAGTATCCCGCGAAAAAACTGTTTCACTATGATGATTTTGCAAGATCTGCATCACAAGTTTTTTACACATGACACAGAAAGTTTGCCATGCGCGCTTCCAAAGGGAAAACACCGTTAAAGAGCCGAGGTCTTGCAGGTGTAGCAAGACAAATAGTTCTGTGTTGCCTTCTGTGCATCACAAGTTCACAGTGAAACAGTTTTTTCTTGCGATATCAAGGACACGGGCTCACGGTCGCCGGGCTGCCCAGCAGCGGCGGACAGCAGGACGGCGGTATCCTGAGTAAAAACGTACCCACACCAGAGTTGTCATGCAGATTTGCCATGACAGGAACATTTGTGATGCGCAACCCCACGACAGGCATTTTCAATCGTGTTTGGGAACTTGTAATGCTGTAAACAGGATCAGCAGATCGATTTGTGATGCGGCTTTCCTTGCTAACTTGCACTACCTTACGGACTGAAACTTGTCATGCGTGACTCACAAAACTCCTAGGTTTGTGTTGCAAAATCCCCATCCCGACTCTGGTGTGGGTACGTTTTTACTCAGGATAGGCGGTCGACGACGCCTATGCAGTGGCAAACGTAGGTCGAGGAAAAGAGTTCGCTAGTTTATTGTCATGCATCCTTTCTTGGTAAGCCAAAGCCACAAAAGTCTTTTGCTCCGCACGCGAAAGCATGATTTCTATATGTTTTCTTGCAAAGGCCTCTCAATGCCTATCTTGATGCATGCATGAGAAAACATCCGCCTTTTCCTTTTGCATACCAAGAAATGAGGTAGGACTATTGGCTCTCATGACGGTCCTGCTACACAAATTTTATTCTGCACTATCAGGACGATTAGCATCACAGGCTGCAGCAACCTTCCATGTTTGCAATCCGTAACGCGAGAGAGAGTGCAATCCACACGGCAACGCCGCTCTCGAGGCTCAACCAGCAGAAGTGTGTAAGGGGCGCTTTCGGCTTGTTCTTCAAAAGTCCCAAACACAAGGACCATGTGCTGGCAGATTCCATCATGAGTCTCTTCGAGCTCGATTTGCGCTGGCGGTGAAGAAGAAGAAAGAATTTTTATAACTTCTTTTTTCCGAACACACTCATGAAGCGACGAAGACAACACTTTTTACATGATTACACGACGCTTCTAGTACGCATACGATGGAGAACAACAATCGCACGACCAAACCCGATCGCAGTGCATGCAATCCCTTTTCCGGTTTGTATTGACTGTTGCTTTTGTTACCTTCCGTGAACCTGCAGCGAGATAAGATTGCCATTATACTTGTCGTTGCCGCATCAAACCGATTCAGCTTTCATGACCGTTGTAGTTGAATTTTTCCACTGGTGTTTTATTTGGTCGGGTTCCGGTCTTACTAGCTGCACCTATTTGACTATTTCCGGTCGCGTGAGCATAATGCGCTTGTCTTGGATCTCATTTTTTTTGCTACCTATAAATAGTCTATTTTGTTGCGGTGCGTTCCAGTGAGCGCACAACCTGTTGTGTTGCACAGATAGCATTTTTATCGGAGGTAGATTCGAATACGAGCGTCTAGGTATAGCATCTGCCTCTGAATTTTCAAAGACGTTTTTTTACGTCGTCTGGTTTTCTTTGTGCTCTTCTCCTTCTTTTCCTTTTTGCAAATTGGAGAAGAAAATTGTGCACAAATTTGTCGTAGACACCGTCCGTTCTAAATGGAGGCACAACCGGAGTACTAATAAAGAAACTCTTAGTATTAAATGGGGTGGTAGTGCGAAACAGATGAAGATACAATTACAATGTAGCTCTCGGTCGAAAAATAAATACGTATGCGAAGCACCTTCTTGTGTTTCTTTGAAGTGAGCACATAAACGACTCCAGGGACATCGACATCATTGATACTAGAAATAAGTGGTTGCTTGAAGACAGCCCCTTACTTGTTTGAAAGCACCATGGCGTCACCGGCGGTGTAAATGCTGATCAGCTTCATTCTAGTCCGTGTGCTATGAACTCGAAGGTTTACTCTTCTTCAGTTTCCCTTTCTTGTGATGCGCTTCGTATTGCCCCATAGCTTATGATTCTACTTGTGCCTATCGTTCCGAAGTGTATTCGAAATGTCATACAGTTGTTCTTCTGCCTTGGGCTTAGCAAGGCTGATTGATATAAAAAAAGTCTTTAACTGCAGCATTGCAGCTTGTCCTGGTACTCACTTGCTCGTTCTGCACGAACAAAAAAAATTCCGGACAGCATGCAGCCCGCATCAATCTATTCATAAATTCTTTTTTTAAACGAAGCGGAAGAAGATTTGCAGAATTTACATATGCTGCCAGTAGTTTTTTTACATATGCTGCCAATCTTGAGTTTTTTACATATGCTGCCAATAGTTTTTTACGTCATATGCTGCCAATAGTTTTTTACGTCATATGCTGCCAATAGTTTTTTACGTCTAGGGAAGACGCAAAAATTGCATTGCCGAAGAGGAAGTTTCTAGCTTGTCTCACAGTGCATTCATGTAGTCATCAAAGTTGTTCCGCGGAAGCTTTTTATGCTTGCGTCAGTTTGTCTAGATTCAAACTAGTCGGTGGTCGTAGTATACTGCTGTTGTCAAGCGGCTCAAAGTACTTACTTACCTTCTCAGATCTCTTTTTTCCCCACGTCTACTTTTGTGTCGCTGTCGGAGGTAGTTCTCGAGTTGTTCAATGGTACGGCACGGCGACGTCTTTATCAAATGCAAAAATGTCTGGGTCTGGAAGAATGCGAGCTCTGTCATGCTAGTCTGGCATGACTCTTAAATCTGTCATGCACATTACCCAAGAGCCCCATTTTGCTGTCATGCAGAAACGCAGTTTGTCATGCAGAATAGGCAACACCTAGAAGCTCAAAAGCTTGTCATGCTGAGCCAGCACTTACGGCTTCCTCATGATACGCCGCCCAGCATCACAAGTTTCCAGACCCAGACATTTTTACACTTGATAGTCTTATTTCTTCCACCATTTCGGGGACGGACTACCTCCTGACTTTTTCTCCCATATCAAAAGGAAAAATCCCCCCTCCCCATATCGGAAACGGAAGATGCGCAAATTTGTGATGCTGTATTTGAGTACACAAATCGACTTGTATTGCGAGAAGGCCAAGAGACGAATCTGCGGCCTAGATTGCAGGTAATCTGTCATGCTGTTTCCCACTTCCAGTTGCCTCCTGTCATCCTGGAGCTGCAAGGCTTTCCCACGCTAGGCAGCAGTACAGTCCGCATCTTTTGCCTTCTAGCATGACAAAGCTGATTTGTGACCACAAATCTGCATCACATATTTCAGTTTTGATATGGGGAGGGGGGATTTTTCATTCTGATATCCCAGCTGGAGCCCCCGTACCCGTAGGAATTCCACCCAGAGTCGTCGTTTTCGAAGGGAGACTGGTTGGTCTGCTTGTACTGGCCTCTCGTCGCCGTGCGTGCCCATTGCTTATAGATATGGCTGAAGTGGGCCGCTGGGTACAATTCTGCGGCACACTCGTCCCGGAAAACCGGGTACGTCTGGTAATTTTTCTCCCCCGCGTATCCTGTGTAAAAAAAAACCGGAGCTGGTGCCCACAGACACCCCAGAGTTGTCATGAAGATTTTCTTCAAGCTGTTTTTGCGCGCATGTGCTACACTACAGATGAGATCTTGTCATGCGTGACTTCCAAAACTTCGGCATAACTATATTTCTTCGCAGTTCGATGTTGCAGCATTCGCAGCTTGACTCTTGAGTCGTCGTGGACGAGATGTTTCTTTCTGCACGGGATAGGGCAATGGCCAGGAAACGGAACTTTTTACCGCGCAGCTGGCTCCACCTGTGTTTTTGCAGATCACACACCGACATACCCTCGACAAGCACCAACTTCGGCACGTCCAAAAGGTTGCGATCGAGGCGAACCCACAGCGGTATGCATCGCAAATATGTAGTCTTGGTCGGGAACAATAAAAAATGCTCTTGTATTGTGTGTCTGGCATTCATGAACGAGAACCTGTTATGTACTATGACTCGCAAACAAAGCGCGAGCGCGACGTATTTTGCCATCCAATAAAAATGCCGCAAGCTACACACAAGACAAGTCAAGCTTAGGTACACTCGATGAAAGCATCACGAAACTGCAGTTGCAAGCAAGCATTCTCACAAGTTTAGACCCAGATCGAAACAAGACAACATGCTTGCATTTGATAAGCGGGCGGCAAAAGTGTATCGTAAAGAAAAATCCACCCTCCCGGTAGTATTCAAAATGGGTGAGCTTCTGACGCACAATGTGCGCACACCAGTATTCCATTTTGAGTTTGAGTACGGGGAGGGAGGATTTTTTCAACATTTTGATAATGCGCATCCCGTAGGTGAATCTGTGCTCCTCGCTATCGTAACCTGGTAGTTTGTCGTACTTACGGTGAAGCATTTCAAGTTGTGCCTCGGAGCTTGGAATTTACTCTGGACAAGCCTTGCGTGTTGAGAAGTAATTACAACAAAACAAAGGGTCTACTTCTTCACATCCGCATCAAATTGGGCACCAGCCAAGAATGAATGTCTACTGAATTTATTGCTGAAATTTCTATGCACGTCGCGTTTTTCGCGTCTTCTTCGTAGCGAGGAGGGAGGCAAAAAAAAGGAAGGCCTGACGAGAAGAGAATGTTGAGCGGACGCGTGGTATAATGTAGACTTTTGTTTAGTTAGTCATCAATTTAGTATCGCAGGGCGAGAAGTTGAAGTTTACAACTTACTTTATAAAGCAAGTACCTCTGTCCTGAAGCTCCGCAATCATTTGTTTTCTGTCGCCAACCGACGGCTCGTACACGCGCGGGTACAATTATGAGAGTGCACAACTCCCCCTCCCCCTCATTCGTGTTGCATGAACAGCAACACAAGCGCTGGCAAAGATGCAGCTTTTGCATGACAAATTCCAAGAGGATTGCAGGGCTGTTGTGGCTTGTGGAGTCTGTCATGCAAAAAGTGCTAACAGGCCGAAGGTAAAGTTGGGATTTTGCATGACAAATGAGGGTGAGGGGGAATAGTGCACTGTCGTAACAATTTCTCGGTGGTCTCGTCGCTGAGAAACTTGATGAGTGGCGCAATGCCCGCGTTTTCGATGTAGTTATCGGACAAGTGCAGTTCCTCCATCACCCATGGGTACGTGTCACCTGCGTCCATCCGCGCGCCCAGTAAAAACCGTTTGAAATTCCGTAAAAACCTGGACAAAAATTTTTCGCAATGACAGAATTTGATTTTGAATTATCTTATGTGGAGAAAAATAGCGGACGAGCAATAGTTTCAGTTTGGAAGTAGAAGAAATTGTTCGAAGAAACATCAATCAAACGGAATAAAGACTGCTATCACTGCCGACGGAAACAACCGAGGAACTGAAGCAGCAGTAAAGGTGGAAGTACGAGATCTATTATTTGGTTGTAAGTAGTTTATCTAGTAAGTATAAAATTAAGTACGAGGCAATCACATTGGCGCCCCGGTTTCCCAGACTGCACTTGAACAGCTTCAAAGAGCGCGGCATGAGCTCGTGGTACTGAAGCCAATTCGTGAGCATCCGGGTGCAGTAGCAATCAAGTTGTCGGTTGTTTGAGAAATCGAAATCCACCACCTCGAAGTTTCTCGTCGTCGCAGGTTGCCAGGCACTTGTAGTTTGATCCCCGGTGGATGAAGCTTCCTCACCTCCCGGGAGAATCGCTCCGATCGACCACATATGCATTGCAAATATGTCTGGGTCTGGAAACTTGTCATGCTGATGTCCGAATGATACGCAAACTGTATTGCGGAGCCGCGCATGACAAGTTTCTGGTTGGCTACGTCTAGCGTTAATCGCGTGCCAAATTGCCTTTTTGCATGGCAAAGAAGTGGCACTGTAGCACAACAAGCATGACAGACTCTTGTGCATTGTCGGCCGAGCATGACAAGTTTGCATTCTTCCAGACCCAGACATATTTGCAGTTCATACCGCAACTGGGTCTCAACGTGTTGCAGCACGTCCTCCACGTTCTCCCTGGACACATCACAAGAGGCCGCCTATCCAATGCAAAAGTGTCTCGGTCTGGAAGATTTCTAGATTTGTCATGCATATTTCGGATCGCGCAAATGGCGTCTGGTGCAGGCAAAAGCATCACAGGTTTTGAGCACGCCTCGTGACGCCTGTCCCGCATGAGAAACTTTCTACTTGCGTACCAAGAAATGGACAGCTTTTGGCGCTCATGCAACACAAATTTTTGTGTGTTCCAGAGTTTGCATCACAAGTTCCAACTCTTCCAGACCCAGACATTTTTGCCCTTGATACCGCCGTGATGTGGACGACGCCCTTGTTGTTCGAAGTAGATCCAGGGCCCCACCTGACCTTCAACCCGCTGGGAGGTGGACTCCTACCACTACCGTGGCCCCCGTCGTCGAGAGCTGCCTCCGAGAGCGGACTGCCAGTGGCACCATAGGTGATGAAATCCGGATACTGCACCGCCGGCGGTGCAGCCGACGAGGACGACGGTTGTGCTCCGGGCCCTACTTGGTGACCCCGGGCTCTGCTGCTAGGCGCCGTTGCGCTCGTCAACGGAGTCCTGTTTTGACATTATTCGATAGTGACATCAAAAAGTCATCTGCTTACGATTGATCGTGCAAATATCCTTCGCGAGGCACGCGCCGAAACATGAAACAAGAACACAAACTCGAATTCGATATGTGATGTTTAGATAAAATTGCACACAATATCAACGATAAACTCCGTAGTACAATCCGAAGCCGAGATCCAGTTTGTAACCGGAGCGAATGATCGCCTTTTTCGGTAAATGCAGGTTTTCGCCACGACAGAAGCTGCAGAACTGCTTCTCGACGGTACGCGTTTTGCCATCCCGACCCATTTCCGTCCGGTCCTCTTTGACGGTAATAACGTTACACCCCAGGTTCTGCCGTTGCAACGAGCACGCCGCGCCATCGCACTTTCCCCACGCCACACGCTTTTCTGCCCACCGGTAGAGGTACAGCGATCTGGTGAAGAAATTTAAACACATTTTGCGACAACAAAAACTGCGACGCCAGGTCGTCGTGCAAGAAGAAATGATAAAGTTGCAGCAGCTCTGGGTTTCAACAACTGGTTATTTCTGCAAAACTACATCGGGAAGCTGCACCATTTCAATTTTTCAGCATTTCATCTTCAATTTGTTCGTGTAGAACAGTTCGACAAACACAAAGTCCGATTAAGAACTATGTACCTGCATGCGGGCGGGAGATGGAAATCACGAAGGACCTCGGAGCGACCGTTTTGGGTCGAAACTTGCGTGAACGCAATGAGAAAGAATCCGGGAGCAGAAAGGGGCTCTAAGTCGAGCAAGTCCACCGGTGGTCCACTCGTGGTTGCCTCTGCTGGTGGTAACGCATTTGCCACCAAGCTCATTTCGTAGTGGTCGCCGAAGTTCTTGTCCTGCCCACACCAAGACAGGACATCTCCCAACCCGCGCGCTCGGGTCTCGACGATTGTTTTTGCCTCAATCTGCTGCTTCAGGAAGAAGGTCTCGGTTTTGGTTGCACCAGCGAGTTTTGCGCAGGTGGTCCTCGACAACATTTCGTCACGCCGAGCATCCGGCTTGCCGTCTAGCCACGATTGCAGCGTCGCCTCGCGTGGCCGGATTTTCAGCTCCAAGCAGTGCCGTTCCTCCTGCGCGGAGTGGGCCAGGAGGCACAGCAGACCTACGCCGCCGTTGGTGGTTTTCTGCTTCAAGTCCTTGTTCGTCGTCCCAATATCTGCGGTCTGCAACTACGGTAGAGTTTTATTATTGTCATTCGATTTCGGCAATCGATCTCCGATGTAGTCGAAGTTGAATTTGAAAGCTTTTTTTCTAGAATTTTCGGAGATTGATAATTTTCGGGCTGCAAGTATGCAATTCTTCTTGCAAACATAAAGAGATAGAGAAGTACTAGAGACGTCTGCTATGTATTTATTCTTCTACCTGCTTCGTAACTTCATTCAGGATCGCAAATGCGGAATGTTCGAAGTTCGGCTTCTTCAGTGGTAACGCCTGTTCCGAAGCGCGACTCAGTTCCGCTTGCGGAATGTACACAAGCAGTGCGTGGTCCGGGGCGAAAGACCCGAAAGATGAACTACTTCTTTTATGCGTTGCAAATATGTCTGCGTCTGCTGGAAACTCAAACTTCAACTTCAACTTGTGATGAAAGTCTGTGAAACATAAATGCACTGCAATGCGCCGCCAGGCATGACAAGTTTCGTCGTGCTGCTGCGCTACGAATTTCGCATGAGAAACTGCGTTCTTGCATGACAGGCAAGAGAGACTGCTGGTGGCCATGCAATACAAATTGCAGCGGCATGTCAGACTAGCATGACAAACAAATCTCGCAGTCTTCCAGCACCAGCAGGAGACAACCCAGAGGACATATTTGCAATGCATATGATCCTTCAGCAGAAATTGAGTCCTCAACGTCAACTTCCTCCGCCAGAGAACTTTTATCGGATGAAAATTGCAAACTCGTTGATAAGAAATCGCGTAGCGTATCAGTCAAATCTGTGCTCGGCGGCGGTAAAGCCAAAGGCACATCACAAGATGAAGTTCCTTGTGCTGAAGCTCCTGCAAGTGATGGCAGGTCGTCGGCCCTGGTGTTGAGAGGCACCGAGTACGCCAAAAAGTTCCGTGCTGCATTCCGGGTGGTCTGGGCCCCCTCGGCCGGGCCGATGATACCACCACCTGCGTCGATGTGCCCGGTCACGCGCAGGATGAGCGCAATGCGGTTGGTGTAAGCGTCGACGTCCGATTGGTCGAGGCGTTCCCGCTGCAGGTTGCAGTAGCTTCTCGAGAAATCGTCGTGCACCAACAGTTATGGTCTGCGAGCGTGCCACGCTAGGCAGTCGGCAAAATTGGTAGGCACTTGCTTGTTCTTCCATTGTTCCAACCAAAATAAGTAAAATTGTCCTCTAAATTTCATATGCCACTACATTTTCACGACTCAAATGACTCAACCTCAGTCATAACATACAGTGCGCAGGCGGACGAACATCATCATTCAAAAGTGAAGATCCTCGACACAAATAAATTTTACCGAGCCAATTCCTGGCACGACGGTTGATGCAGTTTGGTAGCACTTCTCTCCAACTGCTTTCATCGTCCGCTAGCAGATGGCAGAGGGGGTTCCGCGCCACAGCGCACACATCTTCCTCTTCTTCCAAAATACTGCTGCTGTCCTCCCCGTCGCCCAACTCGGGTCGTGCGCCTAGGCCCTCAAAAGCAGAAGGGGACTTTTGTCCACTCGGCAACATGTTCTTGCAGCTGCCACTACTGCTAGAAGCAAGTAGATCTGGGCCAACGTAGATTTCGTTCTTTGGTGAAGCAGAGTTGACCTCCTCGTCCGGCATCCAAGACCCAGACCTCGACCTCCAATTATCGGGCGGCCGCTCGAAGTAGACACTCTCGCTATCAACGTGGTCGTCGTCGTGCTGCACGACCTTATTTTCAGCGTTCTGTGCAAGTGGATGTTCTTGCCCAGCGGGGTTTCGAAGTGTTGCCCTGTTGTTCATCGTTTCGGGAACAAGAAGTGCAGTCGTGTCCTGACCCGTTGGCCTCGGTGGAGTCGGGTTTTTGTTCCACAGCCCCAGACGGACTTCTTTGGAACAATCGCGATGATCGGCACAAATTCGGTCGAGTAAATCTTGAGTAAATTCGTCGGAACCTGAAAAGTAGCGCCGACGACGTTTATTTGAAAAACCGACATCCATGCGAAGAAAACGAAAACATATGCCATTTGTATGCAATTGAATGGGTCAGAAATAAAACATTCCGCTAGAAAACGAAAGCAAGCATCTCGCTCTCCAAATTTTGATTTTGAAAACACTACTTCATCACTGGTACATTGTATGGGCCGCGACATCAACAACTGTTCTGGTTTCCCGAGTGGTCCCCCACCGGGTTTTAGTGCTGTCACAGACGAACAAGCTACTGGTGGTCGAGAACTACTGCTGGAAGGTTGCTGCTGGAAGATGTTACAACCCGAAGCAGTGGCACTCGACGCAGACGGCTCCTTGCAGCCGAAGTCCAACACCTGGACGGCACCAGTGGGATTCATTTTCGCCGGTACTTCTACCCGTGTCGCAGCGTGCCGACTCTCGTCGATCGCTGGAGCTTCTTGATATTGTTCCTCAAGTAAAGTTTTATGCATTGGTGCAAAAGCGTTGTAGACGTAGTCGTACACATTTATTTTGCATGATAAATTTTCTCACGAACAGCGGTGAAAATTTGTCATGCGGATAATTCCGATAAGATTTGCTAGATCTAATGGTAATGTCATGCAAGACATCTACTTCAGCAAGAATCTTTTCATATACGAGTAGTAAGTAGACTACACGATTTATTATACTTTTGCGGTGAATAAGTTTGGAGTAACGGCCTTTCTACTTGCGGTCCGGGTGGTCCGTCTCCGCGGTGCTGCACCGGCAGCGCGCCTTTCCTCCGTTGCTGTTGCCGTTCCTCTTCTCTCCGCGCTTCCGCTTGTCTCGATGCTGCAGCGCCCTTCAAGTTACGGACCCCCGTATTTTGCTCCTCACAGTACTCCAGAATCTGCCGTCGCCGCGTCACATATTCCAAGCCTTGACCCGTCTCTTCCACCAGGGGCTCTCCTTTCCCCTGAGTGTCTACCATGGGTTGTATGCATTGCAAATATATAATGTGTCTAGTTCTGGAAAAATTCAGATTTGCGATTTGCAGAAGTCTACACCATGACAAAATCTGTCATGCATGGCTAGCAAAAGGCCCCAGTTCTTATTTTACCGAAACAGTGGATTTGTCATGCGGATTAGGCAGTGGGGTAAGTACCTGCTCAACAAAATCTGTGATGCTAGAGTTTGCATGCCCGATCGGACTTTGGTCAAGCAAAAGCTGCATGACAGATCTCGCACTCGTCTTCCAGAACCCAGACCTATTTGATGCATTGGATAGTTTGCAAGGTGCGACACTTTCCCTTGCACTCCTTAATCACATGTATCTTCTTCCGGAGCTGCCTCTTCTCCGCGTCGTTGAGCCACTGCTCCATGTAAGAAATGTCCGCCTCCGACCACAAGATCTTCTCATCTTGTTCATTCGGATCTTCATTCTGAAGTAAACCTGAAGATCTTCCGCCGAGAGAAGGGTCTGCATCGTTCCCGGCGCTTCCACCCGGCGTTTCGCCGCCTGCGCTCTCTTGTTGTCCGCGGGAGCCCCGCATTCCGACTTTTTTCGTGCGAAGAGCAGCTACCTGGCCTTAGTACACTTCTCGCATCAACAAAAAATCACAGTGGGTATTGTGATGTTCCAAAGTCCTCCCACACTGAACAACTCATCCATCCTCGTCGTGAGAGCGTGCAGGAATTTTATTTGTCGTGAGTGTGTCGTGTGAAAGAAGATTTTTTCGTGTGTCGTATTAGCACAATTTTATTTATGTCGCCAGAAGAAGATCTCGTACTTTTTGTTTTTACACATTGACTTTAACATGAGTGGGTATTTAACATGAGTGGGTATTTGTTTTCTTTCTTTCATCGTTAATACTTTGCGGCTGTTTACATGCTCGTTCAAATGTTGCCGCTCTTAATCTTCATATGTTTGTCGCCCCCACCAGGAGATCTTCGTAGTTTGCAAATCAGTCTACTGAGGAAGTTCCTTCCGCTTCTAAACCTACAAATTTCCGCTCCTCAACTACCTGAAGAAAAAACAACATCCATATCGTCGCAAATAAGACACAACTGAATCAAAACTCGGCTTTATGCTCATTCAACTTACGAATTCGCGGCCTGTGAATTTCATTCACACCAAAGCGAAAAGAAAATCGGGGTCCAACAAGTCCGTACTAGGTAATACTCACTTAGGTCCAGTGAATTGATCCGACCTTACTTTTGCAAAGGAGCATAAGTAGAAAACAGCTCCGGCCTGCAATGGAAACTTTGACTTTGCGTCAGCAGAGATCTTGTTCACAACAAACCTTAACCGTTTTACTTCGCACAGCGTGACTTGAAGATGAGCATGCTCACTATATTGCTCTTGTAGCAACACGGGGAGTTAGGTTGTAGTTCCCAGTCTGCACTTCAGAAATGGGATCCGTGACGGAGGAAACACAAGCAAGATCTCGTCGTCATCAACGTCGCAAGCACAAGAACAAACAGCGCATCAGACCTTCGAGCTGCAAAGGATCTCTGTTCTTCGCACGTGTTAGAGACGCCAAAGATCAAGTTGTAGATCATTCAAGGAATAGAAAGAATGTATTGCGACTGGTCAGATCTGACTCCGAAGGAACACAGAAGTGTGCTCTGCAAACACAGCTGAGTGGCGTTCTTCCATTCTCAAAAAACGGCACCATGTTGTTCTCGATCCCGCTGTGAAACGTCATCTATTCTGTGAAGAGAAAGCGAAGTCATCAATTACGTCTTCTGTGAGAAATCAAAATCATGCCGCAAGCATGTTTGAATTCGGAAACAGTAGTTTTGCGCATAATTATGCTAGAGTTCATAAATTTATCTTCCTGCCTATGCCTTGTGGTCTTGATCCGTCGGTCTAGCATGATTCCCATACATTTTACAAAAAAAAACTACAGCTAGAAACTGGATAAAGAAAAAAAAACGTGCTGGTGCCTGCTGGCGTAAAACCCTACAGCTAGCAGTCACCATGATGCATTATCAGTTCGTTCCGTAGTGCAAAAAAAAAAAATGAGATCATCAGATGCAACATCTGGGCCACAAATTATCTCGTGAAGTAAGTAATAGCTTTGTTGAGTTGTGTTTCTTATTCTCTTTAACTTGTAGATGAAAAAACAGATTGCATATCCTTTGCTTTGACAAATGCGCCGCTTGAGAAAGGCTCTGCGAAATGAGTATGTTTTTGCTTCGCATGACCTTGTGTCGTGCTGTTGAGAATCATACCCGTTCGCGATGATCGCACGGGCGTTGGCGTAAAAGCAGTCGGCGTAAAATGCTACGGTCCTGACGGCTGGCTAGGCGTAAAATGCCTACGGTCCTACATGCTAGTTCGTATTATCATGATCTTTGTACTTACATCGAGACCGAGTGTAGTTTCACGTGGGTCCCAAGTAAGTACATGTATCCATAGATGCATTTGAGCAAATATTTCTTTGTCCATGAAAAGCAGCTGACTCTGGAAGCTATGCGCTACTCGCAAAAATCTACGGTACACAACAAAGCATCCAGGCAGCCACTCTGTACAAATCAGAAATCGAAAACCGTTGACAAAATCAAGAGCTCATACGCGCACGCAAACTCCATTTGACAAGATGTCACCCCATTTCCTTGCGGTTTGAAAAAAGTATGAGGAAGCGAGGGAGCGGATAATTTGCAGATGAGCTCCCAAGCCCACGGGTGCTTATGCTTTCAAATCAACAAAAAATTCGCGAATCACAATAAAGAATAAATCAAAGAACTGCAGCGTGTAGAGAGCTGCAGCCCTCTCCATCATTTGAATTTGGGAAGTAGATGTTCAGTCATTCCTCATCCTAATCGCTGCCGAGTGCAAGCGCTCCATCTGCGCCATACTGGGGCAGATCCGCGGCGGGGCGGCGACTTTCGCTGTTATTTCCATGACCGCAAGGCTGTTCTAAACAAGTACTTCTAGGACCAGTCGATGAAGCGGTCTCGTTTACAACTGTGACTCGCCTTTCGCTATTGTATCCGGTGTTCTCGTCGTGCACAGTTAGAATCGCATCGCGGGGTCGACGTGACGGCGGCGAATAAAAGGGTGAAAATGATGTTGAGTCAATGCTCGAGATGTTGGACACGACATCTTCATCTTCTGGACGAGGGCTACTTGTAATTTTTGCTTCTTGTTCAACATCTGGTTCGGATCTAGTATTTCCATCATGGCCCGAAACATCAAGGGAAAGCGTGTTACTACTTCTCCTGCTCATTGGTCTTCCGGAAGAATTATAAAGAGCTGCCGGGCCGTTGTTCCTTGTCGTCGTCTTGTTCTTCCGCGGTGATCTTCCCGGAGACTCATCATCCTGCTCTTCCCCCTTACTATGCATGTACTGCTCGGCGCGTCGCCGGATTTCCTCCGGTGCGAACCCACGACAGGACCGCTTCGTAGTTTCTACTGCGAGGGCGGTATTGTTTTGAAATAAGCCGTCGTGCTGTTGTTGTAAACTACCTGGCGACCGCGACGTCCAGTTCTCCATCTGCTTGGTGCCGCAGTGGACGTAGGAATCGTAGCCCGCCAAGACCACAATCCCGAACTTTTCTCGCAAATACCGGAGCGTCTCATCGCCATGGTTCGATTTCGGTCTATGCAATGCAAATATGTCTGGGTCTGGAAGAGTCCGAACTTGTGATGCTGCATTTGGATTCCAAAAAAATCTGTATAGCATGAGTACCAAAGGCAATGCAGTTTTTGCTACGCTGAGAAGGCATTTGTCATGCGGAATAGGCATCAAGAAGCCCTCAGAAAATCTGTATTGCTAGGGTATGCATCACAGGCATCATGGCCCATGCAAAACGTGCATGACAAGTCTCAGAATCTTCCAGACCCAGACATTTTTGCATTTGATACGGTCCCGCCGCGCGCAAAATCGCACTGGCCTGTCCACCAGTTAGCACGAGGGGTATTAAGGGGCTCTTTGAAGATGCTCTTGCTGTTCTCCGCACTTCTTCTTCTTGTCCCTGCGTGCTAGTAATATTCTCGGGGTGTGACGTGCCAAGGACTTGCTCTTGTTCATCCGGCTGCACCCACCGCTTCTGTGGATGACTAGTGCTCCCGTCCCGCGGGTCCTCTCCCTCGGCTTCATTCTCCGCCGACCGTCTCGTACCGCTGCTCCTTCCCGTGATGCCTGACAATGTTTCCTCTTCTTGTCCTTTCGTGCCCTCCTTCCGAGCAGCAGAAGATGTCGACTGGTGCTCGATGTTGAACCACTGCTTTGCCAATGGGGCCAACTGCTCGCGCAAGAACTTGGTCCACGCGAAGGCGCTCACGTACGGTTCAATTTGGTTGTCCGCCTGCCCGTGGCCGCCGAGTAGCACGCCGGCCGGCAAAAACGCGCGTTGGTCCTCGTTCTCATCTAGTTGCCGCAACGTATCCACTGCAAAAATGTGTGGGTCTGGAAGAAGATTACCAGACTTGTAATGCTCTGCTGACAGGAGAGGAGGATTTGTCATGCATGTTGCGCCACCAGTCTATTTTTTTGTAATGCAAAAACGCAGTTTCTCATGCATTTGACGCAAGACCTAGTCGCTTAGAAACTTGTCATGCGCGTCCCCATATTGGAGGCTGCTTTTATGATTCGCAAACCAGCATCACAGGTTTCCAGACCCAGGAGACATATTTGCAATGCATACTTCGCGGCTGCCGACAACGGCTTCGAGTAGTCAATACTGGGGTCGTTCAGCCACCGCATGCCCTCCAGCCGGTACACCTGTTTCTTCGAGTTTTCGTTCATAATACGGGCCGGCAGCGGCACCAGCAGGTCGGACAAGTATTTCTGATGCAGGCCGCGCGCTTTCTTGTGCACGAGCCCCTTGACCATGTCCAGGTAACCCATCGGAGCCGGCTTCCCGTCCGCACCCGCGCTCACAAACGTCACCGCCAGATGGGTTCCCGCAGCCACATTCACGTAGTTCGACACATCGTATCAAATGGAAGCGTTGTTCCACCTCCGCCTCATCTGCAGGCTCAGGCAGATTTTGATCAACAACATGACAGCACAGACACAAGTTCAAGAACAACGCAGGGACTATAACTACTCCTGCGGCGCTTCAACATCGCTACTACAAGTATAGATACAAGGCAGCATTTCTTTTCCTCCGTCAACGGTAGCACTCCAACGTGTTGCACCGATCTTCTGTATTCCCGGTTCATGCTTCTTCTCAGGCTTGTTTACACGACAAGCAAGCGAAATGCTAGTAAAAAGCTGATTCATGCTTAATGTCTTGATCAGTGCGTAATCCTTCTACACACATATTTCATGATCGAATTTCGAGGTCAGAGGGGAGTTTCGTTGTCTGTTTTCATATGTCGATGCTTCTCCAGTCCGGACGGCTGCTAGGGTGCCTCATTTCCTCCAGATCGCGTAGCAAGGTCCCAGCCGCGGTCTGGTGAACCTCGGAATCGGTGCGAGCCGACACCCGGACCCCCGTGAAAATCTGGCTATCAAATGTAAAAATGTCTGGGTCTGGAAGAATTCATGTTTGTCATGCTTGTCTGGCATGACTCTTAAATCTGTCATGCACGTTACCCAAGAGCTCCGCTTTTCTGTGATGCAGAAGGGCAGTTTGTCATGCAGAATAGGCAACACCTAGGAGCTCAGAAACTTGTCATGCTGAGCCAGCATTTGTGGCCTCATCATGAGACGCCATCCAGCATCACAAGTTTCCAGACCCAGACATTCTTGCATTTGATACTGGCTCAGGGTTTTCCACTCGTGGCAGCGCCCGTGTAGAAGCTGCAGCTCGTCCTTGTGGGGCGGAGCACCTCCACCACTTCGATGCTGCGAGAACTCCTCCGCGTATAGTTGCTGCCGAGAGCTGGTCGCCGACGTTGCGCCCGTCTTATTGCGCCTTTCCTCCTCGCAGATTACAAACGAGTGGCAGTACTGTCCCCAGACCGCTTTATCGCTTTCACTTAGTTGGATTTCAACTTCCCGCTTCCCAGGACACGCTCGACTCTTCTTGCGCTCTCGATAAAAATGTTCTTGTTGTCCAGCTCCTCCTGATGAAGAACCACTACCCATCAAAACCGCTTCCATCAGGCGTTTTGATGCTTTTTGTTCGGTGGGGCCAAGTAGCTTGTAGCTGTCTCCGGAGCTGGCGCTGATGTGGATCGCACTAGAAGTCAGGTTGGCGAGGTCCACAGGAACGACGTCGGCGGGAGCAAGACCAAAACGCAAGAGGGCCGTGCCATCCGGCCGTAGTGGAGATCCTGGTGGCGCGGAACTCATGCCGGTTGTGGGCAGCTCCTGGCGCGGCGGCCCTGCAGTAGTTCTGCGGCTTGGGCCTGGTGGAAAGGTACTATAAATCGCTGCACCGTACTCCTGCCGTAGCCGACGCATGAACCACTCGGTGGGCGGCTCGCCGCGGATGTCCGTCACGTAACCCAGTCGGTGCTCGCTCGGGGTCAAACTCAAACGCAGCTCGGGAAATTCAAACTTTGGCTTCAGTTCGGGGTCCAGCTGCATGACTGTGGTAAAAACGCCGGGCTCTCCTTGTCTAATAACAGAGGACGGCTCCTCGGTCCTCGGTTCTCGTGGTTCCTCGGTACTAGTAGTTCTCTTGGTGGATACACGAACAAACATAGCTTTCAAGCCCGAACCACCCAGGTCGAGGGACAGACTCACGGTACCGCGGCTGGTGCTAGTGCGCCCCCCGTTGGCACGACCAAATGTGCTGGACGACGAAGAAGCTTGTTCAATATCTAGAGCTTCATCTCCTGCATGCTGTTGACGACCATCTGCAGCATCTAGAAGGGTACTAACCCGTAGTTCTGTCGCAACTTTATGATGATCATCGTCCCCTAGCTTTTGTTCTCGTGGGCGTCGAACATCATCACCAATCTCGGAATACCGTGGCACCGTTGCGAAGTGCAAACCGCCCTCCGCTGCAATTTTTTCTTGCGGGACGCCGCGGCTCAAGTCCTCCAAGAGTTCGGTTACGAACGGCGCAAGCCCGTCTTCCCGGTCGACTGCCTCCTTCTGCAGAGCCGCGTACACCTCTTCCAGCTTCGCGTACACGCGTGCGGCGTGCTCTTTCTCGAGCAGATACGTCACTGCGGTGTCCAAGGAGACCACCTCCCTGGGGTGCGTCTTGCGGTCCGCCCGGAATTCCTCCTCTCCGGCGTAGCACCCGTTCTCGTCCCACCAGTGCAGCAGGGCTTCGCCGCCCGGCCGCATCACCAGGGACCGACTTTTCCACAGCTTCCACGTCACGTGCTGGCTCAGGTTGAGGCCGATCCCGGCTTTCTCGACAGCCCGGCAGTTCGCGGGCTGATCCGGAAACAGCATCAAATGCAAAAATGTCTGGGTCTGGAAACTTGTGATGCAAGTCCGTGAACAATAAGCGCTCTGTAATGCGCCCCCAAGCATGACAACTATTTTTGTGCTTCTGTGCTGCGTATTTCGCATGAGAAACTGCGCTTTTGCACGACAGGCAAGAGGGCCTCTTGGTGGCCACGCAATACAGAATGCAGAATCATGCCAGACAAGCATGACAAACTTGCATCTTTCCAGACCCAGACATTTTTGCAATCCATAAACAGCATGGGCACGCAAATGATGGGAACCTTGAGGCCGATCGCTTCCGTGAGCCCGCTCACGCCCCCGTGCGCGACGTAGAAAACTTGCTCTGGGAAGTATCAAAAGGAAAAATCCCCCGTCCCCATATCGGAAACGAAATTTGTGATGCTGTATTTGAGTACACAAATCGACATGTAATGCTAGAAGGCCAAGAGACGCAGCTGCGGCCTCGTTTGCAGGCAATTTGTCATGCTGTTTCCCACTTCCAGCTGCCCCCTGTCATGCTGAAGATGCAAGGCTTTCCCACGCCAACCAGCACTAAAGTCCGCATCCTTTCCCTTCTAAGTAGCATGACAAAGCTGATTTGTGACACAAATCTGCATCACAAATTTCTAGTTTGAGTATGAGGTGGGGGGATTTTTCATTTTGATAGGAAGGTCTGGAAAAGCTTCAGCTGCGGAGCATTCAGCGTCACCTCGATCTTGCGGAATAAAGTACTACCATCAAAGCCGCGCGGCCGCGTGGCTGCGGATGAAGATGCGGACGAAGTTTTCTGCTTTCTACTTCTGGTGCGGCTTTTTTCCGGCGAGATATCAATTTCATCCAGTTCTCTGTCGTGCACGCCGTCTTTCCAGATACCCACACAATAGTTTTCGGCCTGCTGGCGCGCAACCGTGTTTCGCCAACTGCTCCTGGTGCGACGACGACTTTTCGTTTTCATCCACTTCAGTTTACCTGCGAAAACCCGATGCTGCAGTCGAACACATTTGCCGTACTGCCGTTGGACCCAAGCAGAGGTGATCTGTTTCCGCCCAAGCTTGCCCAGCAGCGCACTTTCTTCATTTTTCCACTGCATGCCGTCTGGCGCAACTAGGTAGACGAGGATATCAAATGCAAATATGTCTGGGTTTGGAAGGTTGCAACTTGTGATGCTGCACTCGGATCCTAACAAAATCTGTATTGCATGAAAAGCAAAGGAGTTCCAGTTTTTGCCACGACGAGACGGCATTTATCATGCGGTATAGGCAACGCGAAGCCCTCACAAAATCTGTGATGCTAGGGCATGCATCACAGACGTCAGCAGTCATGCAAACTGTGCATGACAGACCTTGCATCCTTCCAGACCCAGACATATTTGCATTTGATAGAGGATGTTTTCCGGCATGTTTCGCAAACTCCGCCACAGGTGCTCCATAGCAAGGTAGTGGAAGTTAAACGATTGTCGCCCGAACGCAATGTAGAGAATTTTCACCTGCATAGTTTCACTTTGCAAGCGCGAACCGCCGCGACGTGCAGTGGTGTTAAAAACCTCACCGTTGCTCCTCTTGGACGTCTCCCCAGCACGACCTTGCAGCAGTTTGGCTTCCAATGCGGCCACCCGTTCGCGCATCCACAAAATGTCTGGATCACGTTCGGCTATTTTTTCTGGTGTAGAAGTTTTAGTACCTTCCTGCCCGGCCTCTGTGCGAGGATTTCCGATGCTTATCGTCCGTGCTTTCGCACTTTGCGCCGCGATGACCACGTTGGGAATCGTGCGGCGATCGTGTGGGTTCGGGCCCGGCATCCGGCAATCCACCCGAAGGGGTGTCGCGGACCGGGGGGTTAGCGAAGTACTAGTGGTCAGCACAGTGGAGTTGTTGATAGAGCCACAACTTGTTCCACCGCTAGTGCTACAGAGACTGCTGCAATAACTGTCACCACTGCAGCTCCGAAGGGAGCTTCCGGTCGTGCTGTCAACATCGGAATCAAAGTCGTCTTCCGTCGTATCTGATGCACCAGCTCTTATGAAACTAGAATTGCAAGTGCTGCACGAGGACTTTTTACCATGAAGGCTCTCATCTGCAGCGCCCTCTACTTCCTTCCTGATTTGTACCTTCGGGAAGCAGGACCCCGTCTGCTTGGTGACTTCCGACGGCAGGAAGTGTTGCACAAAGGTCGGAAAGAAGTCCGTGGGCGACTTGTTGGAGCCAGGCGAACTGCGCATGGTGCGATCCAGCACCCAGCGGGCCGCCCAGGCCCCGTGGAAATTACCGCACCAGATGCTGCCGGGCACTCGCAAAGTCTCCATCAGCGTTTTCGCCACGCCGCTGCCCGCCGCGTAGCAGTCGCTGATCACGAAGTCCACCGGGTTTTCCCCCAGAATGTACTCCGCAATGAACTTTTCCGTGAACTTGTAGTCCCGCGACCAGCGAAGAATTTTGCTGTCCTTGGCCTGCTGCGCAAACAGCCAGCCCGAGTTGTGAATCACGTCCCGCGGCTTCAACGGCACCACTGTGACGCCGGCCTCCTCCAGCGCCCGCCAATCGTGGACGGGCAGGCCAAAGTCCCACGCGACTCGGTCCTGCTCCGGGTTTATCGTGCGGAAAAACGTGGTCCCCGTGTTGATCCGAGAGTTGTATATGCAAATCTACGTGCCTTCTAATATGTGTCATCGCATGCGGTTGTTCCCCATGAGAACCATTTTCTAATGCTTTTTGGGAAGCACTTGTGATGCTCTCATCATGATAAAAAGATCGATTTCTTGTGATGCAGCTGCACTACTAGCAAAACACGACAACAGCACCGAGAGCGAAAACTTATCGTGCGTAACTCCTATGACTTCTGGATTTGTGTTGCAAAGTTCCCAACTTGACCAATAGGTATGGATGGTGGGACCCCCGTTTCTCCTCATGTGATAGGGTCTTCGTAGTCCTCACCAACCCCGCGGTCTTCCTCCGGCATCAGTCGCTCCGGAAGCACCGGAGCGTCAACGTTTGGAACCGGGTCTAGCGAATACAGCCGGGATGTAGTGGCGTCAATCTTCGGAGCAGCCCCCGCGATCTTCGAAGTAGTTGTTTTCGTTGTGTACAACGACGAGTTCCTGCTTGCGAACTTTCCGAAAGGCGCGAGCAGTGTGACTCGCACGCCCTGCCTGGCCAGTGTCTTCATGAGTGGGTACGCCCCCGCTAGCTCCGTCTTGCCCCCTGTCTCGAAGAGCACGTGGGGCGGCCGCCGGTTTGTCACAGACGTGTAGCCGTGCATCTCGTTGAAACTGCGCACCATCCCCTCGTACCAGTAGCGCAGCGTGTCCTTCGCAGCGTCCACTGATTCGCGCGACCCTCTTCTTTGGCCCGCGGCCCCGAAGGTGGGCCAATACGAATTCCCGAGATAGCCTTCGCGATGGAGATAAGACGCAGCGCCGCCATTGTAATTTCCAAGCAGCAAATTTTGCGGCAGAGGTCGTGGGCGGTCATCTTCTTCACTATCCCCAGATGAGATCATGCTGGTGGAACTACAAGCGTTATCTTCACTAGCGGAACAGCACGAAGAGGATCTTCCGGTGCCGGAGGAGGTATTGAAACCGCTACAGCTAGCGCTGGTTCCGTTGTAGTTCCCTGTGGTAGCTCCGGTAGGTGTAGGGTCCCCATGCGGCGGGAAAAAACACGTGTCCATGAAGCAGCTGGAGCCACTTGCAGAATCTGTTTCGCCGTGGAGCTGCCCCGCTAGAGAGTCGTGCTGTTCCCCGCATTCGGAGTTATCTCCGTACTCGCTGCTCGCACTGGACGCGGGACAGGCGGTGGAGGCATAACCATCGTCGTCGTGGTGACTGCCGCCATCACCCTTAGCAGCGAGCCGGCGTGGAATATAGCTGGCGGGCGGTGGAGGCATGGAGCTTCTGGTGCTGTCGAGATGACTCGGTGGAGTTGTACTGCCGTGCTGTGCCCCTGTATTAGGCGGCGATGCTGGCGTCTCCCGGGGAAAAGAGAAAGATGAAAAGGATGCGCCAGAACTTGAACTTAGGTAATCAGCTGCGCCGATATTAGATGCTGGCGCAGGCCGCTGCAGTTCCTGCCCCGCGTTCTGCACATAATTTTCCACTTCTCCGACACGACGCGTAGTGGACGGTGCGACCAAGCTACCTTCCGCATCAAAACCGTAGTCGGCATTTGCTCCATCAGCCGGTGGCTGAGTCCTCGTGACACCTTCCGAGCTGCTTGGTTGATGTGCACTACGGTCGTGGGTAGGGTCCAAAGTTGTAGTCCCTTGCTGCGACACAGCAGCGCTCGACTGCGTTTCGGCCCGGTGAGTCGAAGGGACCTCTGCTACTACGTGGCCCTGCGCCGAACCAGACGCCGATGGCTCTGCAGCGAAGGTAGTAGTTCCACCTGGCGCGACCACTGCAGCTCCTGAATCTGGTGTACTAGTAGGCTGCTGTACAACTTGTGAAGATGTACTGGTTGTCACTTCGGACGACACTGTTGAACTACCCAACCCGTCGTGGCCCTCTACGCCGCCGGCTGGCACGCTGGGTAGAAGTTCTGATGGATTTGTTCCCTCGTCTCCCGATGAACTCGCGGATGGAAGCGCGGGTGTGTTGCTGGTCCTCGGAGTCGACGAAGTCGTCGGGGCAACTAGTGTGCTGGAACTTGCCGGCATGTTGCCATGACCCGGCACAGTTGATGGTGTAGGAGCAGCTAGTCCACCTGGAGTCGGAACAACAACAACATCAGACGGAGGGGCAGTTGGAGCTGTAATTGGTGGAGCCGAAGTGGGATCATAGTAATTTTGCGGAACCGGGGGCGGCAGTGGGTTTATTTTCGGCCCCCCGGAAGTAGATGTCGCGCTGCCGGGACCGTCGACCCCGGGCTGAAACGTGGTACTGTCGCGGTCGTGACCACCTCCAGGGTATGCATTGCAAATATGCCTGGGTCTGCAAACTTGTAATGCTGGTTGCGAAATACGAGGACGCCTCATTTGACTGGCAAGCATGACAAGTTTTGGAGGTGCTACAGTCTTGGCTTTTCTGCATGACAAAGCGGGCTTCTGCATGATAGAAAAGTGGGGCTTTTGGTTTTGGGTAATGTCGTGCATGACAGACTTGAGAGGCATGTCCGACAAGCATGACAAACCTTGGGTCTTTCCAGACCCAGACATTTTTGCAATTGATACGGGGTCTTTCGGCGGGCTCCCGAACACGTCGAACGGCCGCAGTTGTTGGTTGGCACCCTGACGCCCCCCCGAAAACAGGTTCCCGCCGGCCAGTGCCCCGCACAAGCACGCGAGAAGCACCACCGTGAGGACCAGGGCAAGGCCCATGTAGATGGACTTGGGAATGCGAACCTCTTGATTCATGTTCAGAGGCCCAGCACGACCCTTGTTCCGCTTGCCGCTTTCCTCGTCTTCCTCGGCCACGTCGTGAAAATAGTCGGTCATGTGTATCGTAAGCAAAAATTCCCTCTCCCCATATCGAAAAGGCACATCTCAGGAAATTTGTAATGCTCATCTGTGACCTCAAATCATCTCTGTCTTGCAGGAACGAAACTACACAGGCTCCGCCGCATTCTGCAGGCGGTTTGTGATGCTGTTGGCCCTACAGAGTACGCGTTTGCCATGCGTAGCGCCTAGCAGAAAACCTCTCTACTCAGGCCTAGTATAGGCCTGCAGTCCTCTTCAGCACGACAAGTCTGATTTGTGTACGCAAATCCAGCATCAGAAACTTCGTTTTGATATGGGGAGGGGGGATTTTTCCTTTTGATAATGTGATCCACTTGCTCACTACGCGCCAGCGCTCCGGCGCTACAACGATTACTGCTGTTGGAACACCGGCCGCCGCCACTCTGGTTTACTTCGCTGTTGTTAAGCCGTTCTTCTCGTCCGGCAAGTGCCCGGTCGTTGCCAGGATGGAGCCTACCATCGACATACTGATCCGCTCGCATCGAGTCCTCTACCATACGTATCCTGCGGAAAAACGTACTAGCAAGAGCTGCCCCATGTTTATCATATTGACGTGCAAATGCAAATCTTCCGCATGCCGAATTTGTATTGATGCGCCCTAGCGCTATAACGAGCATGTTTTCAGGCTAATTAGGAATTGTTCCACAGTTTGTTCTGCTGTATCTACTTATATTGTGGAGTCCTCAAAAAAAAGAAATGGGCTTGTTATGGTACGCTGCACTAGAGACCCAAAGCAAGTTTGCCACCTCGTGCGCGAAACCAGAAGCCAAAATTCTTTGTCTTGCATACCAGAACTGCTATCTTGACTAAATGTCGAGCTCGAGGAGGTGACTACGTTTTTCCGGAGGATAGAGCGGTCGACCTTGTCATCGATGCTGTCCGCCCACGTGTTCGACAGTAAAAGACTTGCCGTCTCATCGACGAAAAATTTCTCGTCCCCGGTGGGCAGAACAGCGCTCGTCCTCTCCGCCGGATTCTCCTCGTCGATCAGGCAGAGATTATCCCCTCGGCCACAAGCTTCCGGGTCACCTTCGGTCGTGTACGTGTTCCTCTCTACAACTCCGGCGCAAGAAGTGCCGTCCTCTTGCTGCTGTGAGGTGCTCGACAGCAGGCGCATAGTACCGGATGTAATCATCCAATTGTCGCCAGCACCGCCGTCGCTCGTGCAGCTACTCGGGCTTCTCTTGTACTGGAAAGATCTCGTGCGCTTTTGCGCGAATTGTGCGCGCGCCTCGCTTATCAAATGTAAAAATGTCTGGGTCTGGAAAAATGCAAGTTTGTCATGCTTGTCTGGCATGACTCTTAAATCTGTCATGCACATTACCAAAGCGCCCCACTTTTCTGTCATGCAGAAACGTAGTTTGTCATGCAGAATAGGCAACACCTAGAAGCTCAGAAACTTGTCATGCTGAGCCAGCAACTGTGGCCTCCTCATGATATGCCACACAGCATCACAAATTTCCAGACCCAGACATTTTTACATTTGATATCGCTCTCGCGGATATCATCCAAATCCAGCTGCAGCAAAGACCGCGATCTGCTCAAAGCAGAAAACAGTTTCTTCTTCCTCTGCTCCTGCTCGACCTCGGTTTGATGTGCAGCAGAAGATGAGGGGTGTACTACTACACCCCCGCTTGAGGATCCTACTATCCGCGACTGCTTGGAGAGGAAGCCATCCCGCGAATTTGCAGCGGCTGAACCTTTCGAAAGAACAGCAGCTTGTTCTTTCGGGGAAACACAAATTTCTTGCCTATCTCCGCTACGAGGCGAGCAAAAACCCTGCTGCTTCTCATGCTCTCTGGGATAGTGTAAAACTCGAGTTGAGGGAGAGGAGCCGCCAGCTTCCATGTTCGGTGCACCTACGCCGGGTAGACGAAGCGACTGGCGCTGACCACCAGCACCAGCGCCGTGGCCGTCCTCCTCGCGAGTATTATAAGTCGAGACGTTGTTGCCATGATGATCCTCGTCTAGTTCTAGAAGAGTTGCGCCCGCGAACTGTGCTGGATCATACTCATAGCTGTCGTCCAGATATCAAATGTAAAAATGTCTGGGTCTGGAAGGTTGGCACTTGTCATGCTGATTTTGGATTCTAAAAAAATCTGTATTGCATGAGCAGCAAAGAGAGTCCAAGTTTTGCTACACGGAAAGAGCATTTGTCATGCGGTATAGGCATCAGGAAGCCCTCACAAAATCTGTGATGCTAGGGCATGCATCACAGACATCAGGAGTCATGCAAAATGTGCATCACAAACCTGGCAATCTTCCAGACCCAGACATTTTTACATTTGATACCAGAACTTCCTCGACCACCGAGGAAGGCAAAGACAGCAGCGAGTGGGCCGAGGCATACCTTTCTGCAAAACCTTGTCGCCGGTAGTGTTGATGTTCTTTATTATTCTCGGTCAAGATCTCGTTTTTCTGCACCGGTACCGGAAGCTCAACCCGATGATCCGACGACATTTTCTACTGCCCGCGCTGCGGCGTGCCCCGGTTTAGGGGGCCAAGGCCCAGTAAGTACTCCTTGACAACGTAAAAACAAACGGCCAGAGTTGTTGTTCACCGGTCCTCGCCTTAATACTCTACGCCGCCGCGTCGGAGGGGACGTCAAAAATGCACGCAAGCGTTCAGGAACGAGCTGTGCGTCGACGCTTCTCGGTTCGTAGTCCTTCCAGCAACCTCGTCCGTTCGTTGTAGCCCGGCTCGCACCTCCGCACTGTGCAGCTGGTGCGAACTCTCCCTGAGGAGGGACTAGGACGACGTCCAGTCGATATGCAAATTAGTTGCGTCTGCTTCTACTGCTCAATTCTTCCATGGACAAAGTTGGTTGTGAACATCATCTTCATCTTACACAAACAGCAGCTTCAACAATAAAATCATACAGGTTTATATTCATAAATTTCGAGAAGAAATTCACATACGCATCTCAAAGCTAATGGTCCACAAAAAAAGCTGTACAGAAGTCGCAACACAAGAAGTAAGTCCAGGGCATCAAGGATTGCTGGCTAGCTCGTCTGGAAGCAAGGAAGCTCCTTAATTGTCTAAAGCGCTCGAGCATTCGCTGTAGAAAAAATTCAACTTTTGAATCGCAAATATAAAATACTAATTGAATTGCATGATACCTACTACTCAATATTTTTACCATAAATGTTTTTGTTCCTCGTCTGTAAAATGTTAACTATCCTTACGATCTCCGTGTAGTTTCTTGTAGTAGTAAGTACGATCGAATGCGATGCCAGAAATGCCTGAATCACGCGATGCTGTGGTTCATACGGGCCGCGACAAGATCTTCCAGTACTGGAGGAACGTACTTTCTTTTCTTTTCTCTTTCCCTACCTGAATCCGGGACGAGAGCATTAGCTTCTAGGGATCAAGACGGTCAACATCTGGATGCTAACAGGTGATCCGAGCCCGACGTGATCGTGATGCGCATGAGTAAAAATTGCCACCACCAGTAGTCGTCTCGAACAAGACATAGACGTACTTAGATCCAGGATCAACTTACGATCTCGACCAATAGAGCAGGACCGCGGCAAGGACGCTGCCGAGGCGGCGATCATCGAAGCGCGGAAGAGGCGAAGTGCTTTGACTCATCTGAATGATCAAAATATATATCTGCGGGTTTTACTGGTTGCATGTTTTTACGACCAATGAATCTGTGCCAGGCTCATTGCACACTATTACGTCTCCTGCAGCATGATCGGAGCCACTGCTCTGGCTTCCTGAGGTCACAACAGAAAACAGCAGCATAAACAAGATGCTGTAACAGTTACTGGAGCCTTTCGGCGGCCGTCCAAAAAAGCAATCCTGCTCCTAGGTCACTTTTGAGCATGATGAGAAGTTGCTTCTGCTTGTTAATCTTCGCGAATAACTCCGATGTTTTGGAGCGCTAAAATCAAGCTGACAGCTGAGGTCAGATTCGCCTGGTCGAAATGCCTGCAAACAATCGCCGCGTGAAGATCGAGTGGACCGATAAGCAGACTTGTGTCTGCGGCATGAATGATTCTCGCGAAAATAAAAATTGAAATCGAAACGGATTTTGGCAAACGAGACTTGTGTCTGGGATTCATTTGATTCTCGCGAAAAAAGTTGAAGTCGAAACGGATTTTAGCAGACAAACATTCTATACGTTTTGGAGCTCTTTTTCTACTTACGCGGTTTCGCAAACAAACAAAAACAAAGGATCCGATATAATAACGCGTCTGACTGTTATCCCGGTTATATCCAGTTAGATTATGCCACCATCAGTGACATGAAAGAGCAAATTAATAAGAGAGAAAGAGAGCAAAACATGATTGCAATGCAGGACTTGCATCCTTCTGTCATCCCGGTTTAGGCCGTAATTAGAAAAAACCTTCGGTGTGAAAGAGCAAGCTGAAACAAGCATTCTATACAACGTTTTGGTATTGGTGAGTTCTTCTTCTTCTATACGTTTTGCACAAAGGCGACAGACTATGTTCCTTTCTATTGAAGTTGCTCGTCAAGGAGACACAGACAAAGTCGGGATGAGCGCTTACTTATTTACCTCCTCTAGCAGCATTAAACGTACGCGAAAGCTGCTATCGCCACGTGCACGGCTACAAGAAGTGGCAGCTTTTCGCTCCATGCGACCGCCACCGCAGCGCTTTTTTTCACGCAACAGCTTTGCCGGTCGCCATAGTTGCAGGTCGCCGCCTGGCAGAGCGCCATCGCACTCGTGGTCAGCATATCAAATGTAAAAATGTCTGGGTCTGGAAGAATAAACTTGTGATGCTGCGTCTGCATTATCCAAAAAACTGTATTGCATGAACAGCAAAAGAGGTCTGGTTCTGGCCACGGCGAGAGGACATTTCTCTTGCGGTATAGGCATCAGAAAGCCGTCACAACACCTGTGATGCTAGGGCATGCATCGCAGAGATCAGGAGTCATACAAAATGTGCATGACAAACCTTGCATCCTTCCAGACCCAGATTTTTGCATTTGATACAGTGTCTCCGTGTCCGTGTTGCACACGTTGTTGATTTATTACAATGAAAAATGCCCCCACCCCCGGCCTTGGGAGCATTTGCATTGCAAACTTTTCCAAGTCGTGAGACATTCGCCCTCTTGCTCTTGCATCTATCAGTATCACAGATGTCCAATCGTGAATAGTAAAAATTTGTATTGCAAAAGACCCCATTAAAAGCGGCGCTTGTAATGCAAGCGATGCGATACACTCCTAGGCTCTGCATCAGCAAGATTCATACTCCTTTCATGCATGACAAAAAGTTTTCATTTGGAAACTTCGCATCGCAAATTTTTGCAACTTTGGGGGTCGGGGCATTTTTCACTGTAATATGATTGACTGTTCCTTTTCCGATCGGACTAGCTGCAAAGAGGTGCTACTGAAGGAAGAAGATGAAGAACTCTTGCCAGCACCGGAGGTCACCTGGAGGTTGGCGACGGCGGCCAGCGACCTGCATTTCCGGCGGCAAATTGTAAACTCCCTAGGGTCATCTTCTGCAAACCTTTGGGTGAAGAAAGAGAAGTCCTTCTTGCAACTCGCGCAGTTGACTGCCCCGTTGTACGGGCACTCTGTCCCCTCAGCACCGACGCCGCCTTCGCAGGTGCACACCTTCCAGTCGCACCGCTGCGTGATGTGGTTCCAGTCAAACCCTTTTTTGCAGGAACGCCTGCAGCTTCCAGCGCCATCGTCCACACACTCCAGGTTCGTCTGCGCGGTGTGTGCGAAATCTCCAAGCTTACAGATCTGGCACGCGTTTTTTTGCTTATGGAAGCGTCAGAACTGAAATCCTCAAGGTTGAAATAATTTCTCATGCAGAAACTGCAAGGCATGAAGTGCCTCTCTTGCAGGGATTGTAAACGAGGCCGATTGTAAGCCTGTTTTGGGTTTGGCATAGAGCTGCTAAAGTAGCATGATAAAAGGCGCCTTCTGTCTCTAAACAGCATGACAAACTGATTTTAGAGGGTGTCGAAATTTGTCATGCGCCGCTGGGAAATTGGCGGGCTTCCAGCTGGTATCGATTTTATGCATCACAAATCATTTCAACTTTGACGATTTCAATCCTGACACTCCCATATTGCACGAGTATGCTGTATGCGACGCCGTTTGCGTCCGACGTGTCTGCGCAACTTCTTCCTCCGGAGGTTGGGTTCCTATCCTATGTAAAAACGTCCCCACGATCCCATAGCTGTAACGCAAAGCTGCATGCTGAAAATGTTTCTCGCCCCATCAGAAGCATTTTCTAGCTGTGTTTCGAAATTTGTGATGCTAAAACAACCGCGCCGGCTGCGCTCTCGTCCATTGTCACCGTGGAAGCAAGCCTCCGCAGGGACAGGAAAGACATTTCGGGGAATTTGTGATGCTAAAACAACCGCGCCGACATTGGATTGCCATTGTCCATTATCGCTGGGGAGGCAAGCCTCCGCAGGCGCTGGAGCGGCATAGGGTCAGAACTGCGAAAACATCGCGAGTATCTCTTCATCCCCGGGCACTCATATTTTCTTTCAACGATACTTTGCGCTCACAACTGTAATAGAAGCAGACAGGGAGCTCGAATCACCACGATATGCTAGGTCTGTGATGCTACTGAACTAGCTCGCCAGAATTACACATACACTAGCTACGAGGTCACACTTGTCATGCGCAACAACGAAAGCTTGTTGATTTGCCTAGCAGATTCACCATCGTGACTATGGGGTGTCTATGTACTAGAAAAGACCAAATTGTAAAGCACAAAGAAAGTTCGAACTTTCAGAAAAGGAAGGGAGAGGAGAACCAACTACGACGGGAAGAGAAAAGGGGTGGGGACGTTTTTGCTCAGGATAGGTCTTCGTCTGAAATCGCGTTTTCCTGTGCTCTCCTGTGCCGCATTCTGCGCTGCACCCCCAGTCGGTCCAATCGCCAACCTCGCAATCGCAGGGTGGGTAGTGGCAAACTTTTCTCTCGTATTCGCACAGGTCCGGTTGCAGGCCGAGTGAACCCGAAGGGCAATTGTCAACGCAGGTGACATTGACGCGCCTCCTCTTTCTCCGCCACATCATCTCGACGTCGCCCTTACCACACGCGTTCGGCCCGCTCTCCAGCTTCCAATCGACGGCGTTATTCTCATACCACCTACTCCACCACCCTTGAGACCAGTCATCAGCCGAAAAACAAGCGTTGACGAGATTAGTATGGTCGGTTCCGCAATTTGAATCAATATTGTCAAGAACTTTGTGTGGGAAGCATGCGGTCGGGGCATTCGCCGCGGGAAAAGCTGCGTGTAGGTAGTCATAAGTTGTTGCTAGGATTTCGCAGGTGGCGTCGTAATTTTTCAGGGTTTCCTCCTCCTAAGAGATAGGGCGGGCCGTAGGTAGGTAGATGGGCGCCCTGTGATCCGCACCAGCTACGGAAGCTAGTCACTAGTAGGTAGGTAGGGCGGCTCGAGACCTATGCTCTGTGGCAGCTCGGCCGATAGTAGAAGGTAGGTCGGGTAGCTCGCCTCGCGCTGAGACGTGCATGACTGTGGCCGACCCGATGACGGTAGGAAGGTAGGAGGGTAAAGTCACGGGAGGAAAGACACTACGACCACGCTCGAGGTAGCTAACGCCAATGCCATCTAGTTCACAGCATCGCCGTACTTAACTACCTACCGACCTACCGAAAAGGGCCTGCCGGGTCTGGCCTACTCGAAAGAACATACTTCGATTTGAAAAAATCTCGCAACTTTGTCCCTACAACGCTCTTGTTTCTTACGCCGCGCTCTCCGCTATAGCAGAAACACCCATGCAATATATATCCGCATTGGTCCTGACGCTCGCTCCACCACCCCGCTTCACTGTCTCAGATTTACTTCAACAGCTTCATAAGGAAAGCGGTGTCGTAGGGCTTTGCGCCAAAACCACATGGGGAAATTGCACAGCATTCTCAGTGGAGAGCTTTGAATACTACAGCGAATCATAATATTTCTATCATTTTTAGCGGGTGCAGCTTCCCTGATGTACTACAGTCGTTGAGCATGTCCCACAACATGGGCACGCATTGGTGCTCTGTAGTTGTTCCGTCGGAGAGCTAAATATCATATTTTGCCCGCTTCTTGTCCAGATCAGTGTAGTGCGATTTTCAAAGAGTTTAATGTAGTGTCTTCATCATCCTGAGCGCCGCGATGGTGACACACATGCTCGGACTGTGCTTGACGTCGACACTGCGGGACGATTCTTTTTCAAGCGGTGCAGGTGTTCTCGAGAACGCGCATGAGGCTGGCTCGAGAACCAACATCGTCTATAACAGGATCTTCAAAAGATTTTTTACACATGCAATCTACTCAATTTTCGGACGAGCTATAGGAGGCAAAACGGGAAAACATGCCAGTGAGTCGGATTTTGTTTAAAAAATTGATGAAAAACAGAAAAAACGTTTGTAGACTGAGAAATTTGTGCTAAGTTTTCCGTTCTTTTGAGAAATCTAGTCAAGGCGTCAAACGATCCAAAAATCGCATGACCCTTCGAAAAAAGTAGTCGCAGAAACACATTTGATTTATGTCGAGGTAGGGAGTAGTACTTCACTCGTGCACTTTTGCTTGAAAACGCAATAATAATCTATTCCTGTACTATACTAAGTGTTGCTGCGATCAGTCCAAAAGTTTTTGAGATCAGTCTCGGAGTCATCTGAGCACAGCTATCTTCTCGTGCATATGTTCTTACGGCGGCCCTGCCGCAGCACTTGTTTGCTTTTCCTATTCAAAAGTGAAAATGAAACCCCAAAGGGAAGTTTGATGAATAAGAGCACAATAGCAAAGCTTTTCTTATCAATTTTTCGATGTTAGTACGCACAATAGCGCAAAACTAGAAAAATCATCGTACTGAAAAAAGTCTAAGTAGAAAAAATCAGGACTGAGTTAAAGACGATGCTTCGTGCTCGATTGGAGATGCACTTGTTCTAGTGCCTCCGTCTTAGATGCTCAATATTTTGGCTACACCCTCCGTTCTTTGACGAGACAGGTCAAAGTCAAAAGATCTTTATGCCCTGATTCTCACCTAGCAGTTATTGTGAGCCAGACTCACGAGGATTCGGCATCGCAAGGCCGATAGGTCTCCTCCCCGCGGCAAGAATGTGCCGATAGATTTTCGCAAGAACCCCATTAACGTGAGTTTTAAAGTAGTGTCATTTTCTAGTTCGTTGTGCTACGTATTCTTCTACCGCAGGTGAGACGACCGTGGCAATGACCTGGTGAAGCAAGACCGTGCGGCTAATTGCCGCTCTGTCGCGCCGCACGGGTCAAATCTTCTTTATTTTGGATGTTGGTTGTGTTTGTGGATAATTTTCTTTTTGGGCTGTGGTAGTTGAGCCTGGGTCCGTTTTTACTTACCTATACTCGCATGGACATGGTTAGTATTGAAACGACACTTGCTCTTGCACGCAAAATTGTAGTTCAGGTGTATCAATCTCCTCGCAAAAGTGTTGTACTTAAATCTTCGAATCCAAAACTACGCTGCCCCCTCGAGTGAGACGACAACACGTTTTGAAAATATCTTGAGAGTCCGGGTTTTGTATCAACGTCGACAAGCTCCATACCAATACAAATAGAAATACACGACAACGAAGAAAGAGTCAGGTTCTACGAGTAGAAATGTGATACAAGTCTCATTTTGCTCCTCGCTACCTAGGAAGAATGAGATAGCTTTTGACTTTTATTGCCTAACAGAAACTTTCACAAGCCACAGAAGACTCGTAAACTTTTCTTGCTGAGAGCAGGTACCTCCTAATAAATTATTTCGAATCCAGTTGCAGTGCGGAATACTTTACACACGAGTGCGCAACAGCGCCCGCCCGTTCCAGATAAATACTACTACTCTGGGAGGTTGATACGATAGTTCTTTTGTTTGTCGTCGAATGTTTTTTTCGTGAACGAGCAAAAGTAGAATCGCCGTTTTTAATTTCGTATGTGTTGAAGAAGTAAAAGTAAGCCAGTGCTGCGATAAGAATAAGATGACCTACTTTCAAAACATACCATTTTTTGTTGTTGTTTTTTTGTTTGTTTTCGTTAGTTTTCTTTTTTATTGGTCTTGATGATCATGTAGTGCTCCGATTTTAATAAAGGCTGGTCATGTAGTACTCCTTTTAGAATGATACGGGAAGGAATTGGACTTGGAAGGATCGAGCGATGGGCGTCTATCTGCCCACCAACTCGGACTCGAAACTGAAGCCACGCAAGCAAGGCAACATAGCATAAGAAGCACAAGTTTCTTAGCACATGACAACATCTATCCTTTCCTTCTTTTTGGGCTGTGGTAGTTGAGCCTGGGTCCGTTTTTACTTACCTCTACTCGCAGGGACATGGTGCTTGCCTCTTGAAAAGGAGTTTTCCTTTTCCGTCGTGATCTTTTGTTTTGTTCTTAGTACAATGCCTGCATGCAGCAACATCAATAGAAATAAGTACTTTATTCAATGCGAAACAATTATAATTTGCAGAAAAAATAAATCAAGTTTGCAGAAAGTCCGACCCATCCCTTGATAGGCTGTCTATAGTGTCACGTGTTCATGCCTGCTGTGGCGTATTTGACGATACAAAAATATTTAAATTTTTTGAAATGGAGTTTGCAAAAATGCAGATAAATATCATCGCAAAATATGGCAGGTACGAGTGTGAGATAGTCTGGAAGAAAGCGTGAAATCAATCGCAAACGAATCAAACCCTAATTCCGAAGATATAAAAATCGAGAAGTAAGATAAAGTTTGAGAATAAAATAGTGTTTGAGTAAAATTGTTAAAGTTGTTTTGTACTTCTTGAAACTGTTCTACTTACTTCACGAGGTTTCGGTCTTACCACGAGGAGACGTAGCAGTATATATTAAAGCCTTTAGAAAATCGACAATCCCAGAGGGATGTGAATAGTTAGGTCCAAGACAACTATGCGTAAGTTTTCTTTCACCTCTCCGAGTTAGTGTTGTGCTACGACCGTCTAAATAAAGCTAGTGCTTTGTATCTAGTAGGACAGTTGCTGAAATTTGTCTTGTATTCGAGGATTCTAGCGAATCAGCTCGTAACCTGTTTTTTCCTTGATTTCTACTTTTCCTTAAGTGCGAGGAAAAAACTTTCATTTTGATGTATTGGGGGGTAGTACAACCCACTTTCTGTTGCGTGTTAGTTGTGTTGCTTTTATTCGAAAGTCAAGTCATGTTGTGGCTTTTAGCATGTCTTTTAGCTATGAAGAAATGTTGTGTCGTCGATGGTGTCGTGATTTTTTTACGTAGAAGAACATCGAACAACAACAATGTAATTGTAAACGCGTAAAAAAATATAAAGAAGTACGTACGAAAAGGAAAACAAAATGTTTGAAAACTATTGGGTCAACCCACATAAAAATAAATAATGATTTTCAACATAAAAAAGGCCGAGTTTCATTTTCAAGAATTGTCCGTGAATCCCGCAGCAACCGGTCTGCGCGTATGCATTCTACAAATATGTCGGTGCCTGGAAGCTGCATGTGGTCCTGGTAATGAGCAGCCGATCTTCCCTCAAAAAGAAAATTACGGCGCCGCGCATGGCAACTTTTCCATCGAAAATGGCTCCTGGTTGGGTGAATATAAAAGTCGCAAATTGGCATGGCAATTGAATGCTGACCGTGCGCCGCAAGAAGTGTGCTGGCAGATGATCTTATTCCCCTCTTGTCGGCCTAGCATCACAAGTCTGGCAAGAGCTTCTAGCGGAGACAGATTTGATTTATAGCGCGTAGGCATTCCGATTTGGTGTTCGGCTGCGCTGCTGAAAGGCAGAAGACGTGACTGTAGTACCTAAGCAAAAATACAGTTGTACATCACTAGAATGATCTTCTTGTTTTTCGTGGTGCAATGCCAACTGGGCATGAACGACAGTACCAGTAGAAGTACAGCAGGCAGGGCGAAGATTATACAGCGGTAACAAACAAAATATACCACCAGTCTGCGGCAGCTGCGCCGACGCCGACCCGGTTGCTGGGTGTCCGGAGTTCAGCCCACGTCGGACTGCGACCAGGGGCACGCCGTTCCCAAAATGCCGCTCCACGTACGCCGCTTGCGAGGTGACCCAGATCGGGTTTAGCTCGTTGTCCGGGTTCTGACACAACGGAGTGGTCAGCTTTTCCAGGAAGGGCTTGCCCCGGTCCCCGGTTCGGACCTGCCAGCAGCGGTGCCGTATGCAATGCAAAAGCATCGTATTCGTATAATTGCATTACATATTTCCTCAGCATGAGAAATAAAATTTGTAATGCTGATTTACCTTGAGAAAGAGATTTGTAATGCATAAATGCAATTACTACAAGTACGATACTTTTGCACAGGATATGCCGCTCCGGCGTCCGAAACAAGAGCACGTTGACGCAGTTATAACAGTGCACAACTCCCCCGCCTCCCCCTCATTTGTATAGCATGAATAACAATACAAACACCACCACACGTGGAACCTGTGCATGACAAATTTGTGTGCCTAGTAGCGTAGTCTAGTTTGGCGGCCTTGTTCATCCGGGGAAATTTGTCATGCAAACCATGCCACAAGTAAGCGAGTGGATTTGGAATCTTGCATGACAAATGAACGGAGGGGGAGTTGTGCGCTGTCATAGCAATCCATGGCCGGCCAGAAGTACTTCAGCATGTAGAGGCGTCGGTTGTCCAGCGCCCAGAGCACGTTCTCATGCTGCACCACGTGCATCATCGGAAACGCTTCCAGTTTCTGGCGGAGCTCCAGGAAACGGTCGTGCCCCGGCTGGTTCAGCACTGCGGAGACGATGCTGGCTGCCGTATTGTCCAGCAACTGCCCATGCGCCCCGCCGAACCGTGGCGCGACAGACGACTGGCTGAAGTGAATTTCGCCCAGGCGCACCGGACTCACTGTCGCGATCTCCCGTCCGCCCATCGAGGCGTATGCGTTGCAATTATGTCTGGGAGGTCTGGAAGCTTTCTTTTGTCATGCACAAGCGCAATTTCTATTGCGCACAACGCATGAGGAAGTGTGATCCGAAACATTTGTCATGCTTAGCTGCACTCAGGAGTACTTATGCGCAATCATCGCCACTTACCATCACAAGCTTCCACACCCAGACATATTTGTATCGGATAAGGCCGTTAGGTGTGCCATCTGCGCCTCCATCTCGGCCATGTTGCACGGCCGCAGGGCTTATGCATTGCAGACACGTCTGGATCTTCTAAAAGATTGCGAGGTCTGCTATGCGGGTTTTCCATGCCCGCTATCGCTAAGGAATGCCGGACCTGGCGTGACAGATCATTCTGTGAGGTCTTTCTCTTTTTTACGATCATGTCTATTCTGCATGAGAAACAACTCATTCTCAACCTGGTCATCAAAAGTAGTGAGCAACTTTTGGCAAAAATCATGCAATCCAGATCCTACTTTCTGTGACTCGCAGGACGCATCACAAGTTTACATCCTTCCAGACCCAAACACATCTGCAATTGATAGTGCATTTTGTCGGGTACACAGAGCTCTCGTCTCCTCCACGAATCCACCGCTGGCCGAGGCTGCATTCTGCTCCCCCTCCAGGTCCTGTTGTTTTTGTCGCAACAAGCAACAAAATCCTACTTCGTTCCTCTCACCGGGTGGTGGGAAGGAAAGCAAGAATCCGGTCAAGATGAAGAGTCAAAGATCAACCAATTCAGTCTCACCCTGCAACACGGCAACATCGGAAAATTGTGCAGAAAAAAGAAAAATTATCGGGGCCGCGACACCGAGATGTTGAGACTATAGAACCCACTCCTAGTTGTACTGATGATGTTTAAATACAGATCAAATCGACGCAACAAAAACATAAACATTCACCCCCACTTTTATGTGTGGAAAAAATAGTACCTGCATTCCGTGCGGGGACGGGACCGCGGCCTCCTCCAGCTCAATTTCTTCCGGCACGACCGCTTGACGCTCGGCCTTTCGTGGCACGGGTCTTCGCCCGGGCTCGGACAGGCTTCGAAGTTGTGTTCTCGTGCCGACCACTTTTCTCCCATGATCCGTACGATCGTCTTCGATTGCCATCCTACTTGTTGGTGTGCAAGTGACATCACAATCACCTGCTTCCACGGCGGGACAAGTTGTTCCATGCTCCAGCGTACAATTACCTGCACCGTCCGCGTATCAACTGCAAAAATGTCTGGGTCTGGAAGATTGCAACTTGTCATGCTGTTTTTGGACTCTAAAAAAATTTGTATTGCATGACCAGCAAGAGGGGCACAGTTTGTGCTACACGGACAGGGCATTTCATCTCATGCGGAAGGTGCACCATCAGGAAGCAATCTAAAAGTCTGCGATGCTAGTCCTGCATTACAGGCACCGTGGGTCATGAGAAATATGCATGACAAATCTTGCACTCTTCCAGACCCAGACATTTTTGCATTTGATACCACGTAGTAGTCTTCAACATGACCACCGCCGTCCCGAGCGGGTGGAACGCTCGCGCTCCGGTTCGCGTCGTCCGCACACAAGGTGCCACTGTATCTACTTTCGGTCGTGGCCGTCGCTCCTGGCGTGTCGCTGTTGTAGTCCTGTTCTTGTTCATCATCAACGAGAGCAGCTGCTGCTGCTTCTCCCCTCGACATTGATGCCGAGGACGCAACTACTGGACTGGCGGTTCTCCCGGGAAGAAGCACGAGGCCCCGAGGACCACCACCTCCAGGAGCACTTTGTGTGGCTGCAAGAACTCCTGCCCGGAACGTCCCATTCGCGCTAACGGTCACACCACGCGCGTGCAAGAACTCCGCCGCCGTGCGCGCCAGGGCTACTGCTGTTGTTCCTGGATGTAGGGGTGGTGCTTTCGTTGGGATGCGGCCCAAAGAAGTAGTAGTAGATCTCGGTTCTTGATGTTCTGGTGCCACATCAACAGGGCTGCTCTGTCGTTCCACCGGCTCCGTCGAAGGTGGTTGTCGACTAGCAGTCGTCTCGTCGTCGTTGTCCACCTGACGTTCTTCGCAACGAGGAGAACCTTTTGTAGTACAGTGGAGTGAAAATGATTTTTTTGCCGACGTGTTATCTATCACTTGTTTGGCCCATTGGTCGTGTCACTTCTACTTCTAAAGAGTCTGATGTAAAAATGCAGCGACCTATGCTGTGATGCAATTACATAAACCCAATTTGACTTCAACTTGTGTTGTTGGACCGACGAAGAGTGGTGCTTTCAGAAGAGAAAGATCGCAGAGACAAAAAAAAACACCTTCGTCCCCCTGATGCAGTTCCGTGCGTTCCACATTTCTGCTCCTCGACAGGGTCGTCGTACTAGAATCCCCCTGTTCGGCGACGTCTCCAAGAACATCTCCTTCCAAATAACGATCCATCGTGTCGTCAGTTTCGGGAGTAGCTGCATGAGCAGTCGTTGCCTCACGAGGACCCATTATTTCATCGGCCAGCACCATGCCATCCTCGACTCCGGGATGAACACTGACATCGGTCATCGTGGTATTTGAAATTGCAGCAGAAGCTGCTGGACCAGCACTCGTGTCAAGACCTTCTACACCATCTACGACATCACTCGTGTAGTTCGGTGGCGTTTGATGTTCACCGCAGCTTACTACCTCCTGCTCCCCCTTCGAATTGTCCTCCACCTCGGCTGCAGCGACCCCCGCTGCGAGAACCTCCGATAATTCCATCTGCGTAGCTGGTGCCTCCGATCTTCCGAGAGAGCTTTGGACCGGCAGTTCTATTGGTTCTTCAAGAACCTCCTCCGAAGGAAATAAAGGCCCCCGTGGTGCAGCTGAAAGAGAAGAAGAAGATGATGATGACGAGGAACTGCCAGTTCCAACTTGTTCCTGAGATGTTGGTCTTGCCGGAACATCTTCAAGCGTTTCCGAAGGAGAAGATCCAACTACCGGAGCAGTTGTTCTTGTCGTTGTACTAGTTCCAGGAGCAATTACCCGCACACCCGACTTTGGGCACAAGCCCGTGGTCATCTGGCGCAGAAGCTCCTCCTCGCTGGGCGGGGGCAAGGACGGATCCCGCGGCGGCATTCGGTAGTACACGGGCTGCTGCGTCGGGGTAGTTCTTGCTCTCGTTTGATGTAGTTCCCCTGCTCCAGGACCAAGTTGAGTGTCTTCTACTTCGGCCTCCTGCTCATTTCCTTTTCCCATGCGTCGCGTAATCGAGGGCGGTAGAGTGGTCTCAATAAACAGTTTGGGATGCGATCTTCGCAGCAGTTCCACTTCTGAGGCTGCTGGTGCAGCTGCCGGGTAGTTCAGCGCAATAGAAGAGGACGAAGAGCTGCTGCTGGAAGAGGAAGAAGCGGAACTTGTATTCATGTCGGGCACGACGACCATGGTGACGGCTTCGGAAGAAACAGGCTGCTCGACCGCTTCACTGGCAGTGCCGTCTTGAGCTCCTGCAACTGGTGGATTTTGTGCCGCCTCGTCGTCGTCCCTCGGGGTCGAAGTCCTGCCATTGCTTTGTTCACTGTCTTCGTTATTCTCCTGGTTCATCTCCTGGCTTGATGTCGCAGCTCTCGCGTTTCGCTTCCTCCTTTTCTTTCGGCGGCGCGCTTTGCTTCTGCCGCGCTCTTGCATTATTTCCTCTTCTTGTTCGGCACTTGGACTTGCATTGACCTCTTCTACTTCTTTCGGAACTTGTTCCTCTGCGGAAACATTTCCATCTCTCTGCTGGCCCGCGTTGTTGTACTCCGGCCGCTTCACGAATTTCTCCGCTTTTGCAGCGCATTTCGCGGCCCTCAGAATTTTTGCCCACAGCTTCGCCTGCCTCTTTTCGAAAGATTCCTTAAGCCTCACGGTTTTCTTTTTACATTGCTTTGGCTTTCGACAAGTTTTGTCTTTGTTTTCCTTTTTCCGAAGTCCACCACCTCCTCCAAGTCGCTTCTGCAATCGGGGTGGAGCAGTCTTCGCCTTTTCCACCTTGGTCCTGGTGACATCCAGATGAACGCGGTTGCCACGCAACCTGCCGTGCTCCTGCAGGACCTTCATAGCGCGTTCGCCGACCGAGAGGTAGGGAGTAGGTGCGGCAGAAGACGACCCGATCTGCCCTAACTGGTCCGGGCGAGAAGAAGCGGAGGTTGAGGTATCCCAAACCAGTTGAGCTTCCGTCCTTCTTCGTTTCTGTTGTCCTAATTGTGGCGTGGTCCCTTGATCGTGTTCCTGGTCCAGATGACTTATTTCGGTCCCTTGATCGCGTTCATCTACATCTACTTCCCCGATCTGCCGCAAAGACGATGCGACTTGCTCTGCCTCAGCGCCGCCCAGAACAGTGCCGACGTTCGTTGTACTCGTTGCCGACTCTTCGCTTGCAGGCTCGACCGTCGACGGTCTCTTGTTCGCTGTTGTAAATGATGTGTTTACATGCATGATCAAGGAATAAATCATCCTTGTGGTCCACGACCTGCTGCGTTAGTTCTCCTGCTGCATCATTTGCACCACTTCGTGGCCGATGAATTCAAATTCCATACAAGGATGCTACGCTCAAACGCGTTTTCAGGATGATTGAATTTGAAAAATGAACATCGTATAAAAATTTTGCTGAACAGAATCTCGACATGATCAAAATAGCTTTTCACGTCGGACTTAAAGCTTCTTCAAGTATTAAGCAAATACCTGCTTTCAGCATCATCTTTTCCGCTTGCAATTCCTTGACAACCCCCGCACATTCTTTGAACGCGACTTCGCACAGCTCCAGCTGCGTCTCGCGGGACCGGACCTGGTCTCGGAGTTCGCTGATGGTATATCGAGAGGAATAAAAACGTCGGCCCCACGATACCCAGAGTTCGCATACGAATCTGCTGCACCATGCCGAAAACGCTGTGTGATGGTGCATCTGCTGCACTGCCTAGTACTACTTAACTAAAGACGATTATGCTACGATCTCTAACTTGTCATGCGCAACGGCCAAAAGTTGTTGATTTGTCGTGCCGAAAATTTGCCATATTGACTATCACATTCGCCATATTGACTATCGGTTATTGGCCCCCCGTTTTTACTCAGGATATGGTATTCAGGTGCGTCATCTCTCTGGCTTCCAGTTGGCGACACCTCTCCTCGGCTATCCGTGCCCGAATACACGACTCGCTTTCGGCCGGGGGCAACAATGGTTCTTCCTGCTCCTGCGAACCCTGCCGCATTCGCTCATCGTCTTCAAGCACTGCCACTCGCGCTAAAGCGGTAGACAAGGCCTGCTTCGCAATTGCTTCCCGTGCCAGCGCAGCTTCCTCACGCGACGCAGTTGCCGCACTCACACTTTGCAGTTGCACCACCTCCCGAAGTTGCTCCAAACACGTTTTCTGCAACGCCTCCCTACTCTCGTTGGCGTCCTTCAGTTGTGCGGCCAAGTCGTCGGCGTGAGACGCCAACCTTTCTTGTTCCGATTTGTGCGCAGAATCCATTTCCAGAACCATCTTGACTAGTCGGTCGCGCTCCGTGTTCGCTGACTCCGCTGCCTCGGTAGCCTGGTCAGTCCAAAGCAGGAAAAAGCTTCATCGGAAAATTGGTCTGTTTTCTTCAATCATCCCCACGACTACATACAAAGAGGGCCCAAAAATTAACAAACATGAAGATGTCCTAACATTAACATAATTATCATCGAAATATTTGTCTTACAGCTGCATTTTTTATACTTAAGTAATAAGTCTCCAACCCCGAAAAATACGTGGTATACCTCAATTTTTTCTCCCTCCAACTGAATGTTCGAATTGTGCAATTTCCAGCACATAACCGAGAGTTTCCCACAGCGCTCCTTAAATTCTTGCGCTTCTTCCGCCCTCGAAACTTCCAGTCTGGAGGCCGCGACACCCTCGACGTCTTCGGAGGGCTGCTCCCCGAGAATAATAGTACGTCCATGATGATGCGCCGATGACGATGACGACGACGACGAGGATGCCAAAGATGTTGAATTGCGTTCTGCTAGCAGCGTTGTTCTAGGAGAAGTAGCGACATTTTGGCGTAGTAGTTCTCCCCGACCACGTTCTGATCGTACTTCAAGCAACCGCTCCAACCCCTGCCATAAAACGAAGGGCCGTAGCTCCGCACACTGCAGCGGATGTCGATTCAGGTCTGCTTCCTCTGCTGCTTATGAGAGTGCTGAACAACTACTCCCGTAAAGTCTGCAAGCTTGAACAGCACTACACTCAGCGCCGGAACTTGTCATGCACAGCATCCACATGATGATTTACAACCGGTATTGGAGTTCGTATTGCTGTTCATGTTTCTACAAATTAGGGGGACCACCAGGGGAATTTGTGCACTCTCATACTGCATTCTCGACGACCAGTACGTTTCCCATTACCGGTCGGCCTGGATCTGCGGGCTTGACCGTAATTTCGACCACATTCTGTAAAACAGAATAAATTGGGTGCAATACTTGACGCAGTGCGAATGACAAAACAAAAAAAAATGTGATGATGATAAGATGCACTTTATCTACGACAGATACGACCCTTGCTCACAACAATAAGTATAAATCAAACGCTTTGATGACTTTCTCACAAATGGGAACAAAACCAAAAGGAAAACTAAAACACAAGGGAAAATAATGTACTGCCTCGGACTGCAGGAGCCTCCATTTAATGCATCTGTCGTGATCGGGGACAGAGATCTGGTCCCACGCGCGGAAGGCCTCACTGTATCCTGATTAAAAACGTCCCCACACCAGAGTCAACATGGGAAATCTGCTAGACAAATCAACCAGCCTTGGTTGTTTGGCATGACAATTTTCTTGTCCTCGTAGTGTAATCCTGTTTAGCTAGTTCAGAAGCATCACAGATCTAGCATAGCATACTGATTCTAGCATCACAAATTCCAAAACACGAAGAGAAAATCAAAATGCTTCTCATAGGGCTCCGCATGAGAAACTTTTTTGGCATGCAGAATTGCATGACAACTCTGGTGTGGGGATGTTTTTACACGGGATACGCTGCCGTCCGTCGCTATGCGGTCCGCGTAAAGCTGCTTGTTTACGGGAACCTGAATTTTTACGGACATCTCTGAGTTTCACATGTTGCCAGATCACCAAATGCAAAGACGCAAGATCTTAATATTTTTTCGTGAGAACTCTAGTACAAATCCAACCATTATAGACACTGCTCAAATTGAATGTTATTCGTCTCCGTTGAAACATAACATCAAGAAGCACGACCACACCGCCCATTTAATCTTGCATCAGATACAGTAAGAATCAATGAATCATCTTTATACCACGTTCCGGTCTCTATTTTCCGCGCCAAAAAACTCCTCGTACGGCTCCGATCGGACGGTCACGTCCCAGGACACGGTCTGCAGAGCATTGGTACAACTCCCTTGTGCACAAGAAGAACTCGGATTTCGTTTTTCCTTAACGGTCAGCGAAAACGTGGTCGAGGATCGTCGTGCCACTGGTCGTGCAACTACAGCAAGAAAATCGTTGTAGAAGCACTCGTTCAAGTGTTCTGGTAGAACTTCTACGTGGTTCGTTCGGGACGAGGTGCTCGTGTGCGGAAGTTGGGCATCGGCTTCTTTTTCAAGGTTCATCTCCCGCGGCTCGTTCCTGTCTTCACTCCCTGCGCGGCGTACCAAAGGGTTTGACGTTGCCGGAGAAGTATGAGAAGCAGATTGCGAAGATGTAGTTGTCATCTCCTCCTGAAGTACACAACTGGCGTCAGCAAGATCCCCAGCGGAAAAACGATCCGATGGGGAACTAGTAGTACACGTATTGATCATGTCCGCGCTTGTTTCTAAATCGCTCACGGACGGAAGTAGTAAACTTTCGTGGTCCACCTCCCGGGAGGTTGAGATTGGAGTCGACGGATTCATCTGATGTAGTAGTTTCAGATTGCGGGATGAAGGGCACAACTAAAGAAGTTCATCTCGTCGAATATTAATTTTCACATTGAATAAGCGATTTATGCTGGTCGTCATCTTCAAAAATGCAACTGCAGTACAAAGATTCATACGTGTTGAAGACGATCATGAGCGAGCACCTTTATCTATCATCGTCCTGAAAGTAGCCGGAGCACGGGCTACTCTCTGCCAGTACAACTTCATCTCACCTGTGGTCCTCCCACGACTGGCTCGCTTTGGCTAGCGGGATCAACGTCCATGACACTGGAGCGTCGTGTCTCTTCCATAACGTAACGACCGCCGTGCTGACAAGGAGGTAACAAAAACAACCAAAAAACAGCCGTGCTTCTTGCCTCCTCGCGATCTCCGCACACAGGTGGTGGTGGCCAATCGCGGTTGTACGTGTCCGACGGGGGTAAAAAGTTGTGTCGCTTGGATTTTAGTATGTATGTTAGTATGTGTATGTTTATGTTATGCTGCTACGAAAATGTTTTGTATAAACGTTTCGTGCTGGTGTCGCTTTCAATTTTTTTATTTTTTAGGGTATTGCGAACGGAGGAGGTCAACATCAGGAAGATAATTCTTTGGGTTGTTGTAAAAGGAGTCAGTACTTATTTTGGTTTTCCAGAGTGGTGGGATTTCCAATGAATAACTCTTATTTCGAATCAATAGCGTAAAACTTTTCTTTCCGTAGACATCACAACTTGACTCAAGGATTCCTGTGTTTTTTTTTGTGGGGAAAAAAAAAGTGCCAAAAATTTTCATTCGGCTAAGCAACTGCATGACAAATGCTTCGTCCTAAAACCATAGGCCAATCCTATTAGGTTTTCACGCCAAGGTCTACTTCCTAGGACCAAAACAGGTTGGCGAAGCCTGTTGCACCAGCACCGTATCCGGTGAACAAGATCCATCATGGGTGCTGATGATGTGCCATGGTTGTCATACCAAGAATGCTGTCATAACTTACCATAGCCGACAATGATGAGAAAACCAAAAGTAAAAGAATAGCATCAAGAACAGCGCCGGAAGGGAGGCTTGTTCCTTTCAAACCAACCAGAGGCATGATCAGGAGTACTATGTGGGAGTAGGACCCAGCATACTGGTGAACGCGCCGGTTCACCAGCTGCGGACTAAGAGAACCATCGCCATGGACCTTCACCTTCTATCCTTTTTCTCAATAATTCGATCTGTCTCGGAGGTAGAACAACGCACAACGTGGTGCACAAGAACCAGTCCTCGACACAGAAGAGCCGCGTTCTGCTTTCGCTTCTTCGATAGATTGGCGTGCTTCTTGAGAGTCAGTTCATCATACAAAAACTGCCAGCAAGGCGCGTCAAGCGAAGCTGCCGGGCTGTTCAAGAAAGTCTGATAGTTTATTTCTACGTCTAGTGAGGTTCCTTGATGAAACGGCCGCGCTACGCTCTACTTCCTTGAGCGCACTATTTCATCATTTTCAAAAAAATCAAAGTAATAAGCATAAAGACCAGTTCGAGAGGCCCATCGGGCACCTGAAAACTTTAAGTATCATGGAAAGGAAGAAGAGTTAGAATATAGTGCGCAAAACAAAGCGCGCAGCCTCGCATGCTGCTTCGCATGCTAACTCCGTAGTTGAGTAAACCTACCCCGCTGGTTTTGCACCAGGTAGATCAGAGGCAACCAATCTTGTGACTTGCTACTCGCGTTGTCCCTTTTCACCCTTCGCGCGTCGACATGAGACACACTCATGCAAAAAATGAGTGCGGAAAGAATGGTGCTCATGTCCCTTTGTTCATCCGGCGCTGTTCTTCTTCTTACAGCTTCAGAATAGCACTAGGAGTTGATCTAGCACAGTAAGGTGCCCGTTTGAAACAACCTCATTGCAACACACCTGTTGCAGTTGAAGATCTACTTACCCTTCTAGAAGATCATTCTGCCGACGACATAATCGCAGCTCAAGTGCAGCCCCGGCGGTAGTACATGCGCGGCGGAGTAGAAATAAATCCTCGACCACCCGCACGAACGAAATTAAAATTCGTTACAGTCTCTACCACTACTTGTAGCTGATAACCGGCTGACCGCGCTTCAGCACCGTTTTTGGCTTTGCGATGACCGTGTCAACCACCTTCCCGTGCAATTCGGCAGGTACGCTGATGCGCGATCCTGAGTAAAAACGGACGCCACACGACCCTATGGTCAAGATGGGGATTTCGCAACACAAAAAAGCCAGAAGCTTTCAGAGTTGTCAACACGCATGACAAGTCCCTCTCGCCCCTGCTGCAGTGCAGTTCATCTTCATCAAGGACAGCCGCATCAGGAAAATAAAACACATGCTTGCCCTGCTAATACAGCATTACAAATGCCGCTCTCAACATTATAGAGATACGCATTACAAATCTTCCCGTATGTAAATGCAAAACTGCATGACAATTCTGGGGTATGGGCCCCGTTTTTGGTCAGCATATGCGCGTCTCCATCTTCATGCTCTCGACGGTGAAGAAGGGCTGTTCCTGCTCCAGTTTCTGCCCGACCGCGACATCGATGCTCAGGATCTCGCCGGGCACCGGAATGCCGAACTCGTTGTCCCCGGCCATGCGGTTTGCATCGTCCGCACCGCCTAGGTATCAAATGTAAAAATGTCTGGGTCTGGAAGAATGCGAGATTTGTCATGCACGTTTTGCATGAGCCATGATGTCTGTGATACATACTCTAGCAATACAGATTTTTTGAAGGCTGCTTGATGCCTATTGCGCATGACAAATGCCTTCTCAGCGTAGCAAAAATTGCATTCCCTTTGGTACTCATGCAATACAGATTTTTTTGGAATCCAAATGCAGCATCACAAGTTGGATTCTTCCAGACCCAGACATTTTTACATTTGATACTAGGAACTTGACAGCATCCGGGTCCGGCTTGGACACCACAACGCGCTCTATCAAATGCAAAAATGTCTGGGTCTGGAACAAAGCAACTTGTCATGCTAAATCTGAATCATGTAAAAATCTGTGCTGCATCATTACCAAAAGCGGTCCACTTTTGACCTAATCGAGAGGCAGTTTCTCATGCAGAATAGGCATGATAGAACTCTCACAGCATCTGTCATGCTATGTCCTACATACCAGACCTCATGGGTCATGGAAAACCTGCATGGCAAGTCTAGCATTCTTCCAGACCCGGACACTTCTGCAGTTCATACGCTCCCCGTTCGCACTGAACACCAACAGAATCTCGCCGTGATTCTGCCGCCGCCCGAATCCGCGGAAGAGAGCCTGTAAAGATGAAGTATATCGCGGTAAAAACATATATGAAAAAATTAGAATGATTTACTGAATTGTTATGTGTGATGAAGAAAACAAGAGGCTCCAGTACCAGACCGCGTTCGTTGTGCACCATCGATCTAGTATCTCCTGGTAAAAGACCATAGTGCAGCGAATCTACTTCTTCAAGAAGAACCCCGCAAATGCATATCCCGCGTAACTGATAAGTAAGTAGACCCGAAAAGAACATCAAATCCTTCTAAGTACCTGCGCCACGCGGCCGTGGTCCAGTAATAGGTCAATTTTTGTCATGGACGGCAGGGCCCGGGGCGTGGACTGCAGCACCCAGGGACACAGCAGCATGCAGGACAGGTCCTTGACCTTTCCCGCGTACAGATCCTTCCCTTTCTTGCCGTACCCAAGCTCGGTGTAGTACTGCTCGGCGCCGAATGCATCAAAATGCGGGCGAAACCCGGCATTGCTCCCCGGATTGAGCGCGGTGTCGAGCTCCGACCGCATGTTGTGCAGCAGCAAATCCACCGCCGGCGGCTTGTCCACCAGCGTTTCCCACTTGTGCAGCCCCACAAGGACGTCCCCCCCGACCTTCAGCTTGCCGCCGGTCTTCAAGAAGCTGTACACGGACTGTGTGTCCTTGGGGAAAATGGCTTCCTCGATCATGATACGGATTGTAAAAATGTCTGGGTCTGGAAGAATGCTAGACTTGTCATGCAGGTTTTCCATGACCCATGGGATCTGATATGGAGGACATAGCATGGCAGATTCTGTGAGAGTTCTATCATGCCTATCCTGCATTACAAACTGCCTCTCGATTAGGTCAAAAGCGGACAGCTTTTGGTAATCATGCAACACAGATTTTTACATGATTCAGATATAGCATGACAAGTTGCTTTGCTCCAGACCCAGACATTTTTGCATTTGATACATGATGGCGATGCCCAGCCGCAGCTTGTACTCCGAGAACGGTATCCCACAGAAAAAATCAGGCGGGGCGTATTACTTGTGATGCAAAAACAAACACACAAAAAAAACTGTCATGGGCGGCCCCATAGCATGCTGTTTAGGATAAGCATTACAGATTTTTTTGTGTATCTATTTTCGCATTACAGATTATATGACCTGCCTGCTTTTTTCTGTGTGGTAAACGGCGTGACGGCGCGCTCCAGGGGGAACACGTCGGAGGCCACGTTCTTGGCGTTCTCGATCTGCAAGGGGCTCAGCCCGTACTCCTTCGCGATCCGCAGATCGCTGCCCTCCGTGCCGCCCGCCCACTCGCTGTCCCACGGTGTCATTTGCGACTCCCGACTGTCGAACCGCGTTAGCACCTTCTCGATCAGCTGCTGATTCTCGTTGTACTGTTGCAGAGCCTGCTTCTGCTCTTCCGTCAAGCTCAAAGCCGCGCAGACCACAGTGTTGTCGTTGTGGGTGCCGTTCTTCCGGTACCCGCAGTCGACGACGAGGTAGCGGTACTTTTTGCTCTGCGCCAACTTCAGCAGTTCATAGCCCACGTGGGCGCTGAACCCGTTGAAATCGTGGTTGTGGATGTAGATGATCGGCAACTTGTTGCGGTCCTTCAGGTGCTGCGTCTCGGCGTACGCAGCTAGTATGCACTCCACGTGGGCCCACACCGCGGCGGCCGTCCACTGCACGCCCTGGCCCGGGTTCTTGATGCGGATCTGCTCGCACTTCCGCCGGCAGGACTCAAAGTTCTGCAGTTGCCGCTTCGTCCACTGTTTGAGCAATTCAAGCGGAAACTTCGGGGAAAAGACCCACGTAGGAAGCGGCGTCAGCCCTGCATCCAGCATTTCGCAGATGGTGGCGTCCTGCGGCGATTTCTCCAGCGGATTCGCCCGGTCCCAGTAGTTCCCGGCGTGGAAGTTGTAGGGAAAAAAGGCCACTGGTAGGTACTCGCTGGGGACGTTGGGAAAGTCGCCGTCGTTGACGGGATCCTTCGCGGGCCGCACCAACGAACCGCTGCTGGAGCGGTAGATCTTCGGACTGGGCTTCGGAGGTAGTGCCGCGGCTGTGGTTCCCCCTTTCTGCGGCGACGGGGCAAACAGGCTTCGCGAGCTCGTGCGCTGGCTCAGGGCCATTAGCCCGGACTTCGATTCGCCGGAGGTAAGCGGCCCCTCCCCCCCGCCCAGCACCGGCCCGAAGTAGTGCTCGAAGGTCAGCGTCGCGGTCGCGTCGAACAGTTTCCTGCGCACATTTTCCGGCAGCTCCGTGAGGCCGTTGACGTACTGGGACCGCTGCAGGGAGAAGGCGGGCACGTTGTAGGGCAGTCCTAGCTTCAACACCTTGGCCGGATCGAGGCCCCGGATCAGCCCGGCTTGGAACTGGGCACCCCCGATCTCAAACCCGACGCAGCCCGCACGCTCGCCGAAAATCTCCGCGTTTTTGCGCGAAAGCGACTGCACGGAGGCAGACTCGGAGTCGTTGCCCTGCTGGCACGTGTCCCGAGGGGCAACCGTCACCCAACCGCCACCTGGCGAAACAAATAGGATTAATGTTAGTACACTTCTCATCCCCAACGACAATCGTAGGTAATGAAAGTGGACAAGTTGTACGTACAATTGAGTCCAAGTTATTCTACACGTGCACGTGTACTTCTACAACTAAGTCGAAGTACTTAGGTTCATCATTATTTACCCTGGGCGTCCAACTGCACTCTCAGTGCGTCGAGGTATTCGCTCAACGTCGCCTCCCCTCGACTGAATTTGGTGAAAACCGTGGTCCGGGGCGGGGCTTCCTCGCGGTTTAACCGGACGCACAAGCGCTCCACCGCGCGCAGCACCTTTTCCGTAGGGTACCGGTCGGGGTCGATCCCCTCCCCCGGACGGTAGCCGTTGACCAGCACGTCCGCGACGGGGCCCTCCAGCATGGCGCGCACGGTGCTGCTGCAGGTTACCCGCTGGTCGTTCGGGATCTCGATGGCGGAGAAGGTCTCGTTGCTCGCGATCCGGCCGGACTGAAACTCGGAGTTGGCGAACAGCCTTCGCTATCAAATGCAAAAATGTCTGCTGGGTCTGGAAGATTCTGACACTTGTCATGCAGATTTTGCATGAGCCATGATGTCTGTGATCCATACCCTAGCAATACAGATTTTTTGCGGGCTTCTTGATGCCTATTCCGCATGACAAATGCCTTCTCAGCGTAGCAAAAGTTGCATTTCCTTTAGTACTCATGCAATACAAATTTTTTTGGAATCCAAACGCAGCATCACAAGTTGCATTCTTCCAGACCCAGACGTTTTTACATTTGATATTCGCATGCACTCGGCGTACTTGCTGCCCTCGCCAAGCACCAGCGGGCGGCGCATATCGCAAGAAAAAACTGTTTCACTGTGAACTTGTCATGCAGAGAATGGAGCACAGAACGATTTGTCTTGCTACACTTGCAGCACATTGGATTTTTCAGCGTCTTTTCCCTTGGGAAGCGCGCATGGCAAATTTTCTGTGTCATGTGTAACAAACTTGTGATGCAGATCTTGCAAGATCATCACAGTGAAACAGTTTTTTCGTGGGATAGCGCAGCTGGAATATCCACTGCAGCAAACATGTCTGGGTCTAGAAGGTTGCAACCTGTCATGCGTCCTGTAGATCACACAAAAATTTATCTTGCGCAGGCAGCACAACATGGTCCTTTTTTGCCATACTGAAACGGTATTTCTCATGCGGGATCACATGCATTGCAAAGCCTTTGCCTTTCCAAGACCAGTCATGCTATAACCTACATTCCAGTCCTCGTCGAGCATACAAAATCTGCATGACAAATAACTCCTGCGCTCGTCCAGACCCGGACATATTTGCAATCCATATGGAAGTACCGCTCTGCGTTCACGCACATCCGATGCCAGTTCTCGGCCAACATGACCACTTTCCCCAGCTGCGGGTCGCTGGTGAAGGAGATCTCCCCCGCCGGCATCAGCTCAGAACGCACAAACGCAAACTGGGGTCCCTGCATCCCCACCACCTCGCCGGGCTTGTAGGTAATCATGCCGTTCTCGTCCGGGTCGCCATGCAGCCAGCGAGCGTGGCACGCCACGTTCCGCATGCGCGTCGGCTGGAAGATGTTGGAACCTTGTTTATTCACGATGGATCGGTGTTAGATAAAAGTGGTATAAGCATGTGAATAGTTGTATACGGCTGGAAAGAACTTTATATCAGCGTAGTAGTACTTTACGACTTTTATGGGAGGCTATTTTCACACTGGAATCCAGATTAGCGCATCAATCAAGACGTTGTAGTACTTACCAGGGTATCCCTTTGCTCGCATCATCAGTTCCGCGAATGTATAGCGTCGGTTGTTGGAAGAGTCTCTCTCTAGCAGCCTGATATGCAATTGAAAACACTTCGTCCAAATAGAATCATGTCCACACGTGGTCGAAAACGAATTGACGGCGAATTTGAAAGAGTTGACGGCATAGGCGCTAAGGGGACCTGCTCGTCGATAGCGCGGCCACTTTTTTGGGCCTTTTTTGAAAATTGGCGAGCGTCTCGGACCTCTTTTTGACAGGAAAAAAAATGAAATTCAATCCTCCCGCGTGTGAGGCCCCCCTCCTCGACTCGAAGTACTACTACTGCCGGACCCGGACCACAAGTTCGCAAAGAAAACAAACACGACACGACAACGAACGAAGGTGTTTTCATCCTTGTACGCTAGGGCCTCGTTTTCCACCTGGGGACGGCGGTTGCACTCGATGAAAGCGAAATGGAATTTTTTTTCCTTATCGCGCCACACCAGGCCCTCCAGCGTCGCGCGGGTGTTGTTGCCCGCCTCTGCCGCGATGCTGGCGGCCCACTGCCGCGCCTGGGAGTACAGCTTCCACGGGATGAAGTAGGGCAGATCGTCGCCGTAGCCGCTATCGTGCGCTTCCGACAAGTCCTTCAAATACTGGTCCGTGAGTCCGATTTCCACCACCTTTTGCAGGCGTTTGTTGAATATGCATTGCAAAAGTATCGCACTCGTACTTCTAATCCGGCTCACGCATTACAAATTTCTTTCTCAAGTCAAAGCCGCATTACAAATTTCATTTCTCATGCTGAGGAACTTTGTCATGCGATTTATACAACTAACGCGATGCTTTTGCATTATGCATATTAAACCAAACGAACCGCCCGCCGTTAGCCACGGTGGTGCCGTCCAGCTCCAGCTCCAACTGGTAGAATCGCCCGTCCCCGTCGTGATTCACTTTCTCCTCGAAGTACACTCCGTCGGCCCGTTTCATCTCGTTCAAGACCTGGGACACCGCGGCGCGAACCTGGTCCGGCGACCGCGGGTTTGCCACTTGTGCACTCCCCTTGCCACCACCACCGTGAATACTTTTCACCTGATAGATAAGTTCGACGTCAGTTGTTCGCGAACAGACGGTCGCAATCTACTCCACCAATAGATAAGTTCTTTTTAGCTACGCAATCTACTCCACCAAGCCTCAACATCTATCATCATCCCAATCACGTGGGAGAACCTAAAAGTGAAGTAAACATTGGATAGTTCTTCTAGAAGAAATTACTTATATCGGTTCTTGATAAGTGCTGTCAAACTAGATAAAAATGCAAATAATACCAATCCTGGCACCGCGGTGTTCATTTCCAATATTTGGCCTACAAATTTCTCGATCAGCGCCTTCTTCGAGGCCTCATCAGCGATGTTCGCGACGAAGTCCTGGCCGGTATCCTGAGTAACAACGTCCTCCCCACCCAAGAGTCAATCCTTGGGACCTCTGCAACACAAATTCCAAAACCAAAACACGACTGAAAATGCCTCTCATGATGGAAATGCGCGTTTCTTGTATTACTTACAACTGCTTCTGTAACTGCAAATTTCCTCGTGAAGACAACTCTCCTGGGGTGGGGACGTCTATTTTACACCCGATAGCCGGACAGGATTGTGAAGGGCGGGGTGGGCGCGCCCACTTTCTTGCAGATCTATCAAATGCAAATACGTCTGGGTCTGGAAGGTCGGAGCTTGTGATGCTAATTCTGGATCATGCAAAAATCTGTGTTGCATGAATGCCAAAAGTTGCCCACTTTTGACGAAGTTGAGAGGAAGTTTCTCACGCAGGATAGGCATGATAGGGATCCCGCAGAATCTATCATGCTAGGTGCTGCGTTCCAGATGACATGGATCATGGAAAACCTGCATGACAAGTCTCGGAATCTTCCAGACCCAGACATTTTTGCATTTGATAAGATCTGCTTCATGCCGATCTTCTCCAGTCGGTCGCTCACGTCCGGATCGTATCAAATGTAAAAATGTCTGGGTCTGGAAGAGTCATGCTGTTTTTGCATGACACAGAAGGTCTGACATGGAAGCTCTAGCATCACAGGTTTCGAGAAGCTTCCGCAATGCCGAATCCGCATGACAAATCCCACATTTTGGTGACAGAAAGTGGGCAGCTTTTGCTACCTATGCATGAGAGATCTTTCTGTGTTCTGAAATGCGCATCACAAGTTGCATTCTTCCAGACCCAGACATTTTTGCAATCCATAGATCGGTGCCCGGCCACACCAGGCCCAGTTTGTTCTTCACGATGCGCCCCGTCTCCGCGCTTTCGGCCAGCGCCGACCACCCCGCCATGAAAACCACTTCGCCGTGCCGCCTGGCCTGCCAGAACCACGGATTCTGTGTCTCGTAGTGACCCTAGTAGACGAATTGGACGAATTTATTTTTTGGATGTTCTTGACCACGAACTTGCGCGGATTGAGTTAGTAGACACAGGAACTACTGATCGAGGAACGCATATCAGTCACACAAAAAAAAAGCTCTCGTCGCGCAGCACGTGTGGTCGTCATCATCATCATCATCATCATCATCATCATCATGCACACATCAAAAATGAATCTTCAGTAGTCCTGTTCTTCCTGTAGTTTATTCCAAAATAAAGTCGAGATTTTCATCAATATGATCCCGGTTGTATTCTATCAGTGTAGTACCATGCGCTCCTTGAAGTGGTCCAGGTCGCCCCACTTCCCCGGCCGCACGAGAATGACGTCGTCGACCCCCTGGAGGCGGTTGTTGGCAACGGAGTTCGTTGTAGTCTCGGTCGACTCGCTCACCGCGTTGTCTTATCAAGTGCAAATATCCCTCAAGGTCTGAAAAACTTGTGATGCAGGGGTGGACGAAAATCTTCATGAGGACGCTTCAGTTGACGACGAAGCATGACAAGTTTATTTTGACTTGCTACGTGTTGTCTATTCTGCATTTGGCAAACTGCGGATGTGCATGAAAGAAAACTTGCGCTCTAGTCTGCTTGAGTACTAGCGTGCATGTTGACAGGCTTGAGGATTCTTTTGCTGGGCGAGCATGACTATAAACTTGCATTCTTCCAGACCCTGACATAATCCTTGCATTTGATATGTCTTCCACGGTTTGCACCACGATCACCGCCTGGCCCCAAACCGCTCGCACGTCGGCGAGCACGCTGTTGGAGGCGTGGCGGCTCTGGTTGTAGATGACCACAATTTGGTAGGGCGGGTGCGTGACCTCCATCGCGGACAGGTTGCGGCCCGGGCGCGCGACCCCGTCGATGGTTTCCTCATTGTTGGGCTGGGTTGCTCATGCATTGTAAAAGTATCGCACTCGTATTTGTAATGCGGATTTACCTTGAGAACAAGATTTGTAATGCATGTCTGCGATTACTACGAGTACGATACTTTTGCACTCCATATCGCCAGCAGCCGGATCTCCTCCAGGTCGGCGATCGAGATCTTCGACGCATCGCTCTGCAGCTTGGCGTATCAACTGTAAAAATGTCTGGGTCTCGAAGAATCCAACTTGTCATGCTGATTTTGGATTCTAAAAAAATCTGTATTGCATGAACAGCAAAGAGAGTCCAAGTTTTGCTACACAGAAAGAGCATTTGTCATGCGGTATAAGCAACAGGAAGCCCTCACAAAATCTGTGATGCTAGGGCATGCATCACAGACATCAGGAGTCATGCAAAATGTGAATGCCAAACCTGGCAATCTTCCAGACCCAGACACTTTTACATTTGATATGGCGCTCAACCCGCCTGGAATGCCCTTCAGCGTGCTCGAGGGCGAGATCAGCGGCGACTGGTGCTGGTGCGCCCCCGGGAAGCCCGCCCGCGACAGACTCGCGAGTAGCGCCTCGCCCTCCGCCGTCCCCGCAGGCGGGGGGTCCCCGCCGCCGCCCGACATAGAAGGGGACGGAACTTGTAGATCTACACTGTGCGGTGGTCCCTGTCGTAGTGGAAGACAGAACCTCCTCTTCTGCTGGCTGTAGGTGTCTGGTTCGGGTTCTAGATTTCAAGTCGCGACTTGTGGCAACAAAATAGGAGCCGCCGGGAAAGAAACGCGACCCAGAGGACTACTCCGGCGCCAGCGACTCCATCATTTTTACAAGGAATTATTGTACAGCTCCTTTTTTCGGCTCGTTGATGCGAACCGACATAAGTGCCACACCTAGCATCAACCTGTAGATCGCATTGCCGGTAGTTTTCAATGCGGTCGTGAACAAGGCAGTATGTTCATGTTGGCGAAATACGAAATAAGACGTACTCAATATTTTACTCAGGTCGTAATTGCTGCCAAACGAGAGCAGCTGCTTGGAATTCAATACGCAGGACTCAAAAAAACAGCTCTTCAGATTCACTCCTCTGTCTGCATCAGATAGTACACACGGAATCAAGGCTTGATATTGTCTTCATAAGTTTCTCTGCGGAGAAAAGAAAAAGATTGCCGCCGTGACTTACAATCTGTGATAAGTAAAAGTCTCGCGACTCCATAAAGTACTAAACATCCATTATACTGGACTACACCGATACACCCTGAGTTGTCTGATGTTTCCTTCACTTTCTCCGTCTTTCTTTCCGACTATGATGAGTCAGGAGAAGATTTTTTTCCGTTTGAATTATACGTGTCTGTTTGATCGCAAGAAGCGCGTTTGCTGTTATTCGACGTGATCCTGTTAGTTGTTGCTTCTTGCAACTCCAGATCGTCTTCCGCGTAGTTTCTTGTGGCCATAGTTTATTGTAGTCTTTATGTATTACATGAGCCACGTCAACACGAAAGATAAAGAACTTGCGAACAGCGCCCGACTCTGCACTTTTGGGAGCAAGTAGTACTGCCTTCTACCTCATGCGCTCCGGGTAGGAAATGTATCAAGTACGTTTGTTTCCAATGGTTTCCGTTTGAAAAAATGTTCTAAAGATTGTAGCAAACCTGTAGTTGTCGTCTTGAGATTGATTTCCTTCGTGTAGTTTCTCCTGTCTTACAACAGCTAAACCATAGGTGCATCATACATGAGTAGCGTAAGTCGTGGTTTTTCTGTTGCCTTCACAGGTAGTAACAAAAGAAACCGTGGCTGGGAAAACTTTCCTGGCCCAAGTTGGTGTATCAAAAGAACAGAAGACGTACAAAAGAAACTCTGCTCCTTAGCTGACAAAAGCGTTCTGCTAAAGAGTTCCCGAGTTTTGCACATTCAAGTCTCTTATGTCAAAATTCTTGTAAACGTTTGATCTTACAGTACTTCCCTCGAACTCCCTCAGTCGATACTGAGGAATTACGGAGAAAACGTTATAGCTCGGGTCTTCCTACTCGGGAACGTTTTCCTTCGCCGCGGCGTAAATGCGGCGCACCTCGGCAAGCAGCTGTTGACCCGTCTGCGATTTGCCTCCCACTGGTACGAAGCCCGTCAGCCCGAGCGCCCGCTTGGCCTGTTTTGTTGCTTTCGCCCAGGACGCGATGTGCGTCTGCGTCTCCTTGGCGAGGATGTGTTATGGGGCAGACAACGCAAAGCAGAAGCTTGGCACGCTCTAACATTTGCACGCACAAGTCTGATGTAAATAAATATATAAGAAAGCAGTGCGAGTGGCTGCACGCTGGCATAAAATGTTTGTCAATATTCCCGGAACGGAGAGCACACGACAGAGCTAGCTAGGTGCTCTTAGCGCATCCGGGCATCGCTGCGCGTGCACGTCAGATTCCTGGGGGATCACACGGAGGCGTGGCGCGCGCGCTCCTATCTGCGAAGCGAAGAACGCCACGCGGGCCGAGGACCATCTGCTTGCGTTGCTTCAAATACGCTGCGGCTGGCCTGCACCACTTTACCTTTCTTATTGCGACTCAGGTCCGCCGCAACCAGCCCTCCACCGGTCTGCTTCTTGTGTCCTTTCTTCACTATGCTCTTCCCGTATTTCCCATACGCCACTTTGCTCGATCTGCCCATTTTCGCTTTCCACCGTTGTATCTAGCTTTCAAAGAAGAGACACTACGAGACCGTAAATAACTGGTCACGAAGTTGTAGAGGAGCAAGTTAAATCTGGGGTTCGCGAGCAGGAGAAAGACAGAGAAGGTGCTATCACGAACTTCACATCGGCATCTGTGCTATTAGGTGGGTGAGACACAACCACGCTTTGAAACTAGAACCTTGTTTCGCACCAGTAGAGACGAGAAGCACAGACAGACATTGATATGTACAATTAGATCGTGGAAAAAAACAGACCAGGAAAGTCACGTCAAAAATATGACTCAGGTTCTTCAGGATTGTCCGTGGATTATTTCTCGGCATAACTCCTATACGGACATTCCTACCCATAATAGGTAAAAAAAGGTCGACGAAACGCACCCATGAAAACAAACAAAGCCGACACTCGTCAACATGACAAAACAATACCGATGCAATGTCGTCCTAGGAGGTAAGTATCCGACAACTGACGCAATACTGAATGCAAAAAAGCAGCGAAAAAAAACATCAGCGGAAAAAACTTTTGGGAGCAGGTAGTACTGCCTTCCACCTCGTGCGCTCCTGGTAGGAAATGTATCACATCCACGTTTGTTTCCAGTGGTTTACGTTTGAAAACTTTTTTCCAAGATTGTACGCAAACCTGTTTTCGTCTTGCGATAGATTTCTTTCGTGTAGTTTTTGCTTTCTTGTTACAACAGCTACGCCTTTTTTTTTGTCTTTGTGGTATTGCGTGCGCGAGATCGTCTATCTGCCCCGCGACGCAGACTCGAAACTGAAGTCACGCACTCGCAACGCCAGCAACGGCCGTAAATTTTACGGCCTAAAATGGTAGAGCCTGCTTGTTTGTTCAAAACTTCTTCTTTTTTCAGCAGACAACAGAACCGGAGGCAAACCTGGGAGACCTTACCTAAACCTCTTCAGATTTTTTGGTGTCACTTACAACTACCAAACCTACCAAAAAAAGCTGTTAAACTGGAGAACTACATTGGACCAACCATAAAATAACAACGAGCAAACTTGTACCTTGCCTTACCGTAAGTCGATAAACTGGGGAGCCTTGGACCAAAATAATTGCGAGCGACGTTTTACCTCGACCTAACTCGAAAAATTTACATTCTCATCATACATGAGTAGCGTATAGTCGTGTTGCCTTCTTCACAGGTAGTATTTACACATAAAAGAAACCGGCTGGGAACACTTTCCTGGCCCAGTTTTCTGAATGTGCATCAAATTCAAAATGGTCAATTATTAGAATAAGGCGAAACCGAATCAAAACAATAGACGCACGAGACCCTGCTAATACTACGTTCCTGATAAATAAAGCGCCCTGCCGAAAAGTTGCCAAGAAGCTTTGCGCGATCGGTCTTTTTCGTCAAAATTTTTGGAAACGTCTGATCGTACAGTATTTTCCTTCAATCAATACGAAAAAAGGAAGAAAACGTTATAACTCGGGTCTTCCTAGTACTCGGGAACGCCCATCGCCGTGCCGACCTCATCACGGCCTCACTGTCTCCCGAACAGTTCGACTGCGAGATATTCGCCCTCGAGGCCGCTAACGCTATGGGACTCTCAACTGTTACAGTCTCAACTGTTACATTAATTTGTGGCGCAAGAACAGCAAAAGTAAAAGCCAAAGCGGGAAGATTGCGCGTTTTGCATTACAAATTTGGAACGGATTCCCCTGCTGTTTAGCCCTTCGAGAATTTGTCATGTGAAGCACCTTGATCGTGTGGCGGCTTATGGCAATTTTGCATGACAAATTCATGTAACAGTTGAGAATGTAACGTTTGAAACGCCATAAACGAAAGTGTCTGCGATCCGTTCTCGTGGTGGCATTTCGCTGACGAGGGTCAGCACTTTCGGATGATACAAGAACCGAAAGAAAGCAGGCTCGTAGCGAATCAATGCGTGTATTTTCAGTCTTCTAGGCTGGACTGACGGATCATCGAGCGGAGGGTAGCGGGTAACCAGAAAAGGCGGCAGCGCGCTCCCGTCAATCACTCCACGTAAAGCGGTCGGCATACTTTCCACTCGCTCCCCGAAGTTGTGGCCCATGTAATTCACCTCTGGCTCACCACCATTTCCGTTGGCTCGCACGAGAACGCCCCGCACGAGATCGGACTTTCGCAAATCTTCTAGAAAAGTCGCCGGAACTCCTCGCTTCCGCGCGCGTCTCGCAAACTGCTGTAGGCGGGCATTGAGAGTGTACTCGACCGCCGTTTCCGTGGCCGATTGAATGAAGACGTACGGCGGGCGCTCCCAATGCGAAGAGAGCTCGGGCGACCCCTCGGCGGTCCGGCAGGCCACCTCGCCGGCCGCTGCGTCGATCCACGCAAGCATGACGCCGTCCACTATGCTGTCAAATTCCTCCGGTGCGGCGAGGCGAAGTTCGGACGCATCCAAAGCAGTCGCCACAAGCTCCGAAAACACCTTCAAAAACCGGAGCTTTTCTTTCCGAGGAGGTGGAGGTGCGCCGCGACCTGTGTCCTTGGCGTTGGCCTTGCCAATGATTTCGCCCATGTCTCGCAGGTTATCACGCAAGCCCTTCAACTTCTTTGCGGAGGCCCATCCGACGCGACGTTCCCTCGTGAGTTTTTCCAGAAGCTCGCCCCGCATTGTCTCCGCTTTGTCTTCGACTTCGCCGCTTTGAAACGTCATTCGATTGAATTTTTCCAAAGCACGACTCGTCCGCTTTGTCTCCTGTTTCTCCGGTCCCGGCGTCTGAACGGTGCTGAAGCACAAAGCGAGGTCATGTCCGAGCCTTTTTGCCACTTCAACATCTCGATGAACGCGCGAGTCCCCCGGGCCGTGCGTCTGGGCGCCGGCAGACGAAGAGGCAGGGCGGGAATGGGAGGCGGAACTACGTACGCGAACGCCCTTGACGCCGGAGAGGGCTGTATCGTGAAAGATGAAAAATGCCAACGCTACAACTTGAATTGCAAGCGACGGCAGTAGCAGCATACTGCGGGCGGAGGAGGACGGCCCGCGACCCGAAACAGAGGACTCAAGCATCTCCTTGTGGCTCGCGGTCGAGGACTTTTGTCTTAGGTGATTTGGAAACTCGTCCGAAGAACTAAGCTTTACTTATAAGTAGGCTGCAGTATGTCAACGAGGCGCGCTCGGAGTTTTTGTACTTAAAGTGTGCTAAACATGTCAAATGGCGTGAGGAAAATTGGTTTTGGTTCCGATCGAAGACTACACAAAACGTATCTACTTTTTCGACGCAGATTACCCAAGAATCACTTGTCTCCTGGTAGGACAGGTAAGGTGTCCGACTGTTTTAGTCAGTCTGTTAATCTGCGAAATTTTCCTCAAGACGAACTTATTCCTGTACGGGGAAAACAACTTGATCTTTATGATTTACCGGTCGCTGCTGTCGATTTACCGAAAGCAGCTTGCGGAGATGGCACTTAAGGAACGCAGCTGCACCTACTTCCGTCCAGCATGCATCAAGATCTTTGTGTTCATTTGGAGTCGAAAAGAATTCCACATTGCATTTTAAATTTTCTTGATCTTCTCTGCACCACCACTAGCACCTCGTAAAGACCACTCTGGGCGGCCCGGGGGCTACTTGCCCGCACCATTTGGCTACCAGACCCATGAATTTGCTCGAGATATCGAGAACAGCTCCTCGTATCAAGGTGGTTATCATTTGTCTACTTTTGTGTGAAGAACACGGGGCAGCTTGACCCCAGAAAAAAATGGAACGATCTTGATCATGATTTGATCGCATCATGATAAAATAGATTGATGATAGCTCCTATGTATTCACACCTGGGTACTAGCCTATCGTGTACTGTCCTTCCAACGAAGGATGAGCACTGTCAATTTGTGTTGGGTGCCCGAGCATAGCATCGATGGGGAGGTAACTAGAAATGGTAAACAAAAAGCGCATGATAACTGTCAGAAACTGGTGAAAGAAAAGGGGCTCGCAGTACGTAGCGTCTTTTGGTGCAGGACGAGGAAATTATGGAGAGTACAAATCAATGGCAAAAGCACAATAGGACATCAAGTTTCTATCGTGTCACGTTCTCCGACATAAGCGTAGTTGCGGCGAAAGAGATCGCGGTCGTGGTCGTCCCTCTCTCCGCTGGGCAGCCGAGAACAAAGTTTATCCAATATTCCTGTGCGCCGGTGGCCAGCAGTTGCTTCCTCTTGTTGTACATTACGATACTGGATGCATCAAGTAATGCTACTGACAATCAAAGTAAGTTAATCCAATAGTCCTGTGCAAGCTTTAGGATTCCTAGTGTACAATGAATGAGTTATTCTACTCTGCTACTGTAGTACGTATTCTACTTCTTCGAGCCAATTTTGTCGTATGATTGGCACTACGGCCTTCCAAAGAAGTACTACCGTAGGCGTTACTATACTGTTGAGTCAGTCCTTTTCATCTACATCACCGTGGCGCATTAGGTCACTTAAATGAGAAAGAGACATCTGGACGACCGAGAAAGAAACATTCATAAAACGTTACAAAAAAAACCGCGACGGAGATTTTCAGATGATCATGGCCCGGCCGGACGGTCCCTGCGGCCGCGGGTTGGCGAACAGCTTGTCGATCGTAACGTGGCCATGGGGAAAGATGTGGGGGCAAATACTCTTCTCGGGTGCCTTCTCCTCAATCACGCGCGGCATCAGGTCCTTGTATGTCGCATCGTGCGTTGTTGCTGCCAGCCTGTGGTGAAAAATGTAGTATTGTGATGGAGAAATAAATCCGAGGGCTACTTAATTTCTTTCGCATACAACTGATCCTGAGATCGAAACATGCTTGACACCATGACCATCGTGACTCTTTCTCAAGATGAACTTCGCCCCGCAGTGTCGCGGTCGATGTCGAGGCGACAGCTTTACATCAACAGATCTATCAGTCCTTTATGCAACAAAAAAAAATGTACTTTTTGCTGGTATCCAGAGGGGGCGTAAACTTGCTCACAAATTGCGGTCCGAAGGTATTTGGCCCGTTTGCCGCAACTCGACTGCGCCCTTTTCTCGCGGTGGTGTGCACGGAGCTTCCGATTGACGGGTCCGAGAAAAAGTAGTACCTAAGGGTTTTTTTTCTTTCGGTTTTACAGAAGTCCATCCGACCTTTCAGAGTATAAAGCGCGAGCGCGTACTAGCTCGTCCTGGAGATGAATCCTCCTTCTACCAAAGTGATATTCTTCCACTACTACATCAATTTTCGCAAGTATTGGTCTTGGTCGGAGACGAAAGGTAATTTACTGTCATTTTGTCTCCCTAGGTAGCCAGGCGGTGAAAAATACACCAGGGCTAGAAGCGCCTAGATGAAAAAAATGCTGTACTTGTCCCAGCTCGCGTCTTCCACCAGACTGGAGGGTCTTTCCCACTTTATTGTGCTGGGGTCTTTCTGGATGTGTGCCAGCCTCTTTGGGTCCGCATCTAGTCGGCTTTGCGTGGTCGGGTCGGAAAAAAACTTGTACCGCGGCCAGAGCTCCGCCGGAATTGACGCCGAGCGACGGAGAGACATGATGCCAACTGGGGTGGAAGCAGACTGACTGTCTGATAGGAGCGTGCTTTTTGGATCTGATTTTATTTCCTTAGCAATTTAGACGACAAACCAAAAATCGATCTTGTATAAACTTCTATTTTTAACGCAAGCTGCGCAGTTTAAAAAATTCTGTGGTGGGTAGGTAGTGGATGATCCAGGGGTTGACTGGGAGGACAAGGAGAGACGGTATGCTGTTGCTGTTCGTTCGAAAAGTTCACGCCAAAAACAGTACCATAAATTTTGATTTACAGTGAAATCTCCAAAATCGCCCTCCCACAAGAATGTGACTACGACGATGATGGAAATATTCAGAACGATACGCTTGGATAACGAGGACTACAAGTGGAACCCCCGCAAATTCGATTTGTCGTTGTACGTGCATCCCCGCCCGAATCCGAATCTGAATCGCAATCTATCTACGAACAACGTTCCTTGACCGACAATGTTGTCTGTTCTACGAAATGAAGCACGGGCCAAACAGTCCCACAGAGTTGCACGATACCGAGTCGTGGTAGCTGCATGCAGTGTGTGCAGAAGTTCTACATCCCGCTGAAGATGTCCGCGACAGTTGAACACTACGCCTACGACGACAATCTACTGAAAAGAGTTCCGCTGCAACTAGCAGGGGATTTTCGCGAACGTGATTTGTTCGCGTAGTTTCTTTGTCATTGCTGCCATACTTGTTGTGCGTGACTACTTACTCTACTGTATGTCGTGTCAGAAGCGATGCAGAAAAAAATGGTATCAACGTTGCAGGACAGAGCGACTGCCCGAAAATTATGCTCCGCACTGAATCATGAGCATCGAAGTTGTAAAAAAAACACGCTGCCGAGGCCGAACTGTATACAAAAGTGCTGCTAGAAGGTTTTGATAAAAATGTAATCTAACGAGAGTGTCCGGATTTTCACAACCTGTTTGCAGCGAAGACGGACTGAGAATCAGTGATCCGAAAGAAGCTCGCCATCTCTTTCTTTGCGTTCCGGAGGTCGCTTCCCGTCCGCCGAGTTGGAGTTGGACATGGAGTTGGGCAAATTTCCTATCTGAATTTTGATTTTCAGAGACCCACACCACACAAAATGCAAATATAAACACTTGCCATGCAGTACAAATTGGTCCATAACAAACACAAAAGCCGCTCTGTACTACAGGAACAGACTCCCAGGCAAACCGGAAATTTTCCCACACGATAGAACGCGCGCAGATGCTCTTCCAGGCTGTGTGGTGTTTGCCGACTTTAGATTCTCGTCTAGCACGAAGCTCGGCTGCTCCGCTCCCGCGGCCACTCTTGGCGGCTTTGCCATCCGCGTGGAAAAGATGTGTTCCCGGTGGTCTGTCGGGAGAACCGCCGGGTTGTAGAAGTTCGTGGCGTCGAAGTGTTTTCTCGCGAAGTGGTTCGCCAAAAACGCCGCGACTGCGTCCGCGTCACGCTGATTGCTGTATGCTTCGTGTCCTGCTGTTGGTTTTCGTTTCTCTCTCCCTGCTTGTTCGAGGAGGAACTAGAAGACGAAGAAGAAGATGATGATGATGACGAGGATGACGAGCCCCCTCCGAAGCCTTTCCCCTTGCCCTGTTCTAGGAAGGCGTCATTCGGCGATACCAGGTAACGTCCTTGCTGTGCCGTGTGGAGAGCTAATTCTAGATCAGGAACTTCACAGCAGCATACCACGTACGCGATCCACAACGCCGCAGAACGACTGCACCCTTGGTGACAGTGAATGTACACCAGGGCGTATCCAAGAAAAAGAAACCATCACAGCCACTTTTGGTTTTGCGCACTTTCAAAATACACAAAGTTCATCCCTCCGTCATGCGTAGAAATGCCGCACGGCCAAATTAAAAATAAGCCTGTTGTACGTGATTTCCATTTGCATTTCCCTTGCACTTTTGCATTTTACATACAATTATCACTAACGTCTTCATGCATCATCACCATCTATCCTGCACTAGGGGGACCACATCAAAAAACCTTCTACGCAAAGACCGACAGCGTGGTAGCTGGAAAGGCGTTTTTTTGTTCCGCAACGTTCGTTCGGGGTTGCTTGCCTCTTCACAACGCGCCGCGGCCTCCACTCGGACGGGGTTACGCTGTTGCTCATGATGCTGCGTCGCCGAGAGCTTCGTCCTCTTCGCCGGCCTCGCAGAAGCGGGAACTTGACCATCCTCGCCCTCGCCGCCATCTTCGGAATCGGAATGCACCACAAGCGCGTTCCATTGCTCTCGTGCGATCGCGTCTAAGCGGATCGGCGCCGCTCCGCCGACGGCCAACTGCCACAAGCCTTCGTGTATGGCGGTAATTGCGGACTCGAGCACCGGCCCCAGCTCCGTGGCATCGTCGTCACAGAGTCCCGAAAAGTGCGAGAGCTCCCTGACGTTCGGAAAGTTTTTCTTGTCTATGGTCAAATAATCGTGGATCGACATGCATCCTGAGCAAAAACGTCCCCAGCACAGAGTCGTCATGCAGAATTGCATCTACATCGTGAGAGGCAATTCGTCTAGCCGCGTCTTGGCAATTGTAATGCTGCAAATAACAGGAAACAAAGGGCGCGACCTTGTGGTACGGCTATCCTTCTTACTAACCAGCAGTGCGCTACTAATAGGAACTTGTCATGCTCAACTCCAAAAACTATAGGAATTTGGATTTGCGATGCACATTTCTCATCTTGACTCTGGGGTGGGAGCTTTTTTAAGCAGGATAAGACGACGTGGGTGAGGCACTTGTCTGCTACCTCCTTTTTCCACCGCAACACGGCGTCGGTGTTGTGTTTGTCGTACGCGTCCGAGACCACCTGCTCGCTCCCTGCTCGCCGTCGGAACTTGTTCTCCACATCGTCTTTATGCACCAGTGCGAAGAGCTTGTCCGGCCCGACGAACACGCCTGGGGCAACTTGATTTCCAAAATCAAAGATGTCATCTTCTGTCCACGGACGCTCTACTTTCTTTACCCTTTTCTTGTGCTCTAGACTGCGACTACTAACTGCGGCTTTTACTTTTTCCTTCCTCTGCGGTGCTTTCGGCGCGACCTGTTCTTCACCTCGTGCCCGCAGCTGCACTACATCTTCGCTGCTGCCAACACCCAACAAACTGCGATGCTGTCGGCGGACGGTCTGCGTCTGGTTTTTCGCAGCGGCAGAATGCTCCTTCCCCTCGCCGCTACTGTCATCGACCTTTTCCACGTCCGGCTGGCCGCGCACGAATAAAGTGGCTCCTCTTACAGGGTCTACCCGCGGAAGGGGGTCGCTGGGTAGGTTTTCACCGGCTTCACCGCTGGTCCGCGGACTCGCCAAAATTTCGTCGCTCTCCTCCTGTTCCGACTGGCTTCTCTCGACCAGGTCGACGGGGGCAAATTCCGTTTTTCGCTGCGGTGTAGATGCGCCTGCGGAAACCGCAGTGCGGCTCGCGTGTTTGTTCTGCACTTCGTTCTCCGTTTTCTCCCTTCCGTCCTCCTTTGCTTTTTCTGCACCGCTAAAAGCCAAAACACCGCCGCTCGACGGCGTAGCACGCGCCGGCGCAGCATCGTCTTCCGTGCTTATCGCGAAGACTCTTTTTTTGGCGGGCGGCCCCGCTGCAGGTAGATTTCGCCGCCCAGTGTACGCAGCCAGGTCCGCAAGGAGCTCTCTCTTCTCACGTTCAAAATCGCGCTCCGGTCTTTCTCCGTCCCTGGTGTCGAGGAACTTCTTCTCGTGCTTCTCGAATACGGGTTTGTACGCTTTAGCGATCAGCTCGCGCGTTTTTTGCTGGCCGTCCAAGTGTTTCAGCAAGGTCTCAAGCTTGAACAAACAGACGCCTCCTAAAATCGACTCCCTCTCCTCGTCCTTCTTGGCGCTCACCAGTTTCGCCAGCAGCTCCTCGGATGACAGCTTATTGATGTCCAAGTGCATCCGGGGATCGTAATTGGACCGGGCTCCTTTGGTCTGCAAGTAGGTCTGTCGGTCCCGCGTGTTGCGAAAATAGTCGAACGTACGCAGCCGGTATCCCGGCTGCCTCCAGGGGAAGTTGAAGGGGGCCTTGGTGCAGGAAGCGTTGTAGTTGTGTATCAATTCCTGCAATCGTGAGCGAATCCGCTTGCGCAATTTCGGATCCTCCAGGGCCAACACCGCTTCTGTTGTAACGCGGAAGTTCTTCGACGCTGTCGGTGGCGGTGGAATGAACCCACGGGCCGCGGTAACGGGCGGTCGCCTTTTCAACGCTGGGCCGGCAGTGCCAGGCCCGCGGAGAGGCGACGAGTGTCGTGCAGCGTCCTGGAGCAATGTCGGCAGGGCCGGCTCGCTCTTACTGCCCTTGCTATGCGACGCCATCGCGGATGTCGGCAACCCGAGACAATAGCGTCGGAACGGAACGGGACGGCACCTTCGAACTAGCAAGGCGATAGTGTACTAGTGCAGCGGGAGCGGACCTACAATGCGCGAAATTGATCAACGCAAACACAACATCACTCTGGTATCTCTCTGGCAGCCGGAATAGAAAAAATCCCCTCCTCTCCCGGGAGTAACACTTAGTACAGTCAAGAAGACAAAATCTTCCATGCAAACAAAAACTTCATCTTTCCGGTCGTTCTCCTCTCGCTTCTCTCTCTCGTCAGGCTCAGGTCGTTCTACTTCGTCAACACTATATAAACTCACGTGATTAGCACTCGCGCTCTACTCGTGAACCAAATACACGCTTCGTGAAGAGGTTGGCAGCCACAATGCCGTGAATGTTGCGGACGAACGCGGACCGCAAAATCGTGCATCGAGTATAACAGGAGTCTCTGACCACAGTCACGATTGCACTTATAGCAGCTGCACTGGGGTGCAACGAGGCGACGCGGGCCGGGCAGCCCCACGCTTCTAGGCTTGTGCGAAACACTTGCCAGATGTTGCGCGGCGCAAAAGGCGGGGCGAGCAAAAGCGCCCGAAACCTCAGGCCCGGCCCCTTCTGCTTGCAGCACTGCGTCCCCGACCTGCCCGTAGAGGGGCAGGCGGCGCGGGCCGGGCGGCCCCACGTTCGAGGCTTGTGCGAAACACTTGCCCGATGCTATGCGGCGCAAAAGGCGGGGCGAACAAAAGCGCCCGAAACTGCAGGCCCCGCCCCCTCTGCTTGCAGCAATGCGCGGGGGCGCGGAGGCGTAGTTTTGGGCGCCCCTACTGAGTCCAGGCGCGAGCTGCTCTCGCCGAGCAGGCGCACGCCTGCGACCCCAGTACCCAACGCAACTCTGAAGATGACCACGACGAGCAGTCTGCTTACTGCCGCTGCGGCGGAGCCGAGACGCAACTATTGTGGCCGCCGAAGATCAAAGAGTGCACGTCGATAGCTAGGAGGCCGTCTAATGAAGGGGCTTTCGTGCCGGTGCCTTCGTCGTCACAACTGGGGCGGGTGAGGGAGCGCCGCTGGGTCGCTCCTTTTATTCCCCGTCTTCACCCCAACAGACTGCCACGCTTCTCCGTAACGGGGGCCGTGCTCCGGCCATATGAGCCAGGTGCGGAAGGACATTAGCGCGCTGAACGTGCACTGCGCCCTGGCCATGTCGTTCACCCGCGGGCCTGCTCATCTCCGTCCACCTTCCCGCGGCGACCATCACGCTTGTTTGCGGCGGCGTTCCTTGGAGTTGTGGAACTATTCGCCGACCCGGAAGCGGCCGCGGCAGCGGGAGACATGATTTTTGCGTCAAAATACTGTGTGAGCGTGGGTCCAGTACCTGCTCAGCAGCTCGCAATTAGAAGACCATCTCTGAAACAAGCATCTACGCGCCAACAAGTACCAACTAGCTCCCAGCTTCTGTTGCTTGGCTTCCTGCTCGCTCAGCAACTTCAGGGGACAGAGTACGAAGACACATTCACAAGCACGACGCGAGGTCTAGCGCGCCCGCAAGTAGCCTGCACATACCAGTGACCGACATACAAACCGACCTTTTGCATCCTTGATCCCTCACGAGAAATTGCAGCACTTCGGTCAACCACTCAGCGCGCCGCTCGAGCTTCATTCCTAAACAACCACAGAATCCAGCAGAAGTCCGTAGCTATTTTTTGCCCTCTCGTCTAAATCGACTTGCGAAACCAGAACGACGTGGTAGAACGCGATCGAGACTTCGGTCGAGCCCCCAACTTTCTAGGCTTGTGCGAAACACTTGCCCGATGCTATGCGGCGCAAAAGGCCGTAGAGGGGCAGGCGACGCGGGCCGGGCGCCCCCACTTTTCTAGGCTTGTACGAAACACTTGCCCGATGCTATGCGGCGCAAAAGGCGGGGCGAACAAAGGGCCCGCCCGAAACACTTGCCTAGCACAATGGCGGCCCGCCCCATCGCGACCCCAGCCCGCTGACAGGAGCAGGCGACGCCGGCCGGGCGCCCCCACTTGTCTAGGCTTGTGCGAAACGCTTGCCCGATGCTATGCGGCGCAAAAGGCCGTAGTGCGAGGGGCCGGCGACGCCGGCCGGGCGGCCCCACTTTTCTAGGCTTGTGCGAAACACTTGCCCGGTGCTATGCGGCGCAAAAGGCCGTGGAGGGGCAGGCAGCGCCGGCCGGGCAGCCCCACTTTTCTAGGCTTGTGCGAAACACTTGCCCGATGCTATGCGGCGCAAAAGGCGGGGCGAACAAAGGGCCCGTCCGAAACACTTGCCTAGCACAATGGCGGCCCGCCCCATCGCGCCCCCAGCCTGCTCACCGGGGCAGGCGGCGCGGGCCGGGCACCCCCACTTTTCAAGGCTTGTGCGAAACACTTGCCCGATGCCATGCGGCGCAAAGGCCCGTAGAGCGAGGGGCAGGAGAGCCGGCCGGGTGGCCCCACTTTTCTAGGCTTGTGCGAAACACTTGCCCAATGCTATGCGGCGCAAAAGCCCGAAGAGGGGCAAGCGACGCCGGCCGGGCGGCCCCACTTTTCTATGCTTGTGCGAAACACTTGCCAGATGCTATGCGGCGCAAAAGGCCGTAGAGGGGCAGGCGACGACGCCCGGGCGGCCCCACTTTTCTAGGCTTGTGCGAAACACTTGCCCGATGCTATGCGGCGCAAAAGGCGGGGCGAACAAAGGGCCCCTCCGAAGCACTTGCCTAGCACGATGGCGGCCCGCCCCATCGCGCCCTCGCCCTGCTCATGAGAGCAGGCGACGCGGGCCGGGCGCC